ACAGAAATTTAGAGTGAAGAAGACTCTATATACTGTACCTCAACAACCTGTCAAAATAATGAAAGATTAGCCCCAGGAGAATGCTCTTGAGGTCCTTCCCCAATGGAGACTTCTGCAGTACAGGCCCAACCCTCAGAACATAATAATGCTTCCAGCACACCCTGGGCCCTCCACAATTTGAGGTTTCAGGAGGCAAGGATATAGCTCTGATGGAGATTATGATCAACCTGCCCCATCTCTTGGCACAGATATAGGGAGGGGTACACAAGTCAGCAGTTTGTGGGAGAGCTAGGATGATCAGACTAGTAGACCAGGATAACTTATAATGTCCCAGGTAAAACTGGTGAATTGGTTACAAATGCAGCCAGAAAATAATGACAATGTTTACTCAAGTAATGTGTGTTACAAGTAATTCCATGTGTACGTGGAGTCTTTATTGAAGTTGCAAGAATCTGTTGATGATGCATATTTGCTTATGACTGTGTATGTGAATATGTTGTTATTTTGCCTATTTTGTTATTTACTAGACCTACCAGTTATTATTGCCACCTGGCTGTGCTTCTAATTTCCCAGGCTTCAATACTATGCCTCAGCGTGCGGTCATACCCTGGAACCTCCAGCCATCGCTGTAACCTTCTCACCCTGGAAAAAGCTTCTGTTATGTGAGTCCCCTTCTTTCACGAAGAATTGCTCCCAACCCCTCCATTTTCGAAAGGGGTCCAGGTCAGTCAATTTTCATTCTCCTCCTTACTGTGATTCTGACTTTCTGTATTTCCAGCATCATGCCCTTGCACCAGGTACCTTCCTTCTCCCTCCCTACTCCCTCTCTTCCAGCTCTCTCCTGGGTGTTGTCTTCCCCTCAGATTGTATGTTTCTTGAAAGCATGGATTGTCTTTCTTTTTCACTTGTATTTATATCCCCAGCACTTAACACAGTGTCTACCACATAATAAAGTGCTTAATAAATGTGTGTTGCCTTTTCTTGTTGCCTGATTTTGTTTGCTGTTTTATATGGGGTTTTTTTTGTTTTATTTTGGGTGAGGCAATCAGGGTTAAGTGACTTGTCCAGGGTCACACAGCTAGTAAGTGTCAAGTGTCTGATTTAAACCAGGTTTGAACCCAGGTCCTCCTGACTCTAGGCCTGGTGCTCTATCCACTGCACCACCTATAGCTGCTCCTTTACATGTTTTTCTTGTGTTAAAATGGATACAAATGTACTATTGTGATATGTACATGTGATAGATCCTGCATGTAATTTAGACCTCTAGTCACTGAAACACTTTGCATTGTGTTCTTTCTATTGCATGTGTGGTTGATGGGACAATTCCCAGGCAATTCCCTGGGACACTGGATAACCATCCTTGTTCTTTTTAGAGACTGTTGTGTCTGTTGATGCTATGCCATATACTTTTAGATGCCAAATTTACTGAAGATGATTTTGCAAAGGACTGCAATATTTCATACCCCTGGGAGGCATGGAATAGCCCTTCTGGAGACTAGACTGATTGCCTTGGAGGGGACCTAAGTTACTAAAGACCCTGGGCCTAGATTACTTCTTAGCCTGAGAAGAGAGGATTCTTGTTGTAGGATACAAATCAGAAGGCAGAGTTTTTTAGTACAGCAGCAGTTTGAAAAATTTCTCTGGAGAGAGTCAGGAAGAGAGTCGGAGAGAGAGAGCCCAGTAGCAGCAATAGCAGTAGGGGCAACTCCAGACTTAAAAGGGAAGGCTTAAATTAGTACTAGAAAGGTATGGAGGCCTATATAGGTCCCATCTCCCCAGGAATTCTAAGTTCATTTTGCTTCTGAGAGGAGCTAATTCTTTAAGGTAATATTGTTAGTGGGGAGATCTATATAGGTCCCTGATGCAAAAGGTGGGACTCACTTGAAAGTGCAGGATTTTATCAATTGGAAATTTTTGGGATGTAGGGAGAGGGCTGCTACTAAGGGTCCTTAATGCTGTTTTTCAATTTCTGTGGAGTGAAATGCTGTCTGGTATGCACTATACTGTGTCACTTCAAGGGGAAGGCCTGCAAGGGGAAATGAAGCCCCTTTCTCACACATCTGTGAGGACATAAACCTGAGAGAAACTCTGGGCTGGGACAAGGCAAAGAGATGATTTCTTGAGAGGTCCTTGGATGAAATCCGGTTCATGCAAATTTAGAACTTGCAATTCTTAGCCATAGATTACAGTTTTTTTGTGTCTGTGTTTTATGGGAGACCATTAACCTCCCAAGAGCACAAAAATGTATCTTATCTATACTTTGTATCTCTCCAAATGCCTAGCTCAAGGCAATAACAAAAATAGGTGATTAATACTTGTTGCTACTGTAGCTGTTATTCCCCATAGAAACATTGTTATACATAGTGGTTAAGACTTCATGGTATTCTTAGCACAATACTAAATTTCCAGACTTAAATGAGTCAAATGGACTTTTGTGGTACATTACTGGCTGGTTTCTGACCATGTTGCTAAATTTAAACTGCTTTCTCCAAAGTTATGAATAACTTCTTAATTTCCAAATCTATTAACCTTTTCTCAGCCCCCATCCTTCCTGACCTCATATGCATTTGATTCTATTGACCACCCTTTCCTCCTAGATACTCTGTGATTTTTCATGACATTATTCTCTCTTGATTTTCTTCTCACCTGTCTGACCATGCTTTTTCAGTCTCCTTTCTTGGTTCATCATCCATATCATGCCCCCTAACTATTCTCTGAGAAACTGTCCTGGACCCTCTTCTATTCTCTCACTGTACTTTCTTACTTGCTAACCCCATCCCCAAGGGAGCATAGTTATAATCTCTCTGCAGATGACTCTCAAATCTATATGTAGTTTTTCTGTGGAGCTCTGACTCTGCCTTTGCAATTTCCTATTGTACATTTTCAATGCTATGTTCCATAGGCATCTCAAACTCAACGTGTCCAAAATGAATTCATTATCTTTTCCCCAAATCCTATCCCTCTTCTAAATGTCCAATTTTCTATCAAGAGCACCATTCCGGTTAGCCAGTTTTAAAACCTTTGTGTTATTCTTGACTCCTCCTTCTCCTTCATAATATATATCCAGTCAATTGTCAAATCTTGTTGCTTCTATCTCCACAATCTCTTTTTTTTAAGGCAATTGAGGTTAAGTGACTTGCCCAGCTAGTAGGTGTCAGGTGTTTGGTCCGCGGTTAGATTTGAACTCAGGTCCTCCTGACTTCAGGGCCGGCACTCTGCACTCTATCCACTGAACAATATCTTTTGTGTCCTTCCCTCTCTCTCTGCTCACATAGCCACCACCTGGTTCAGGTGCTCATTACCTCTCACTTGAAATACTGTTATAGCCTAAATAAAACTACCTCAGATCTCTCTTCTCTGTAGTCCACTCTCTACACAGATGCCAAAGTGATTTTCCTAAAGTAGAAGACTATCTCAGTCCTCTATTTAATCAACATCAATGGCTCCCTATTGCTTTTGAGATCAATCAATGAGTCAATAAGCATTTATTAAACACCTATGTCCCAGGCACTGAAATAATCTGTACCCTCAAGGAGTTTACATTCTAACAAATCAAATATAAGCTCCTCTGTTTAGTTTTAAAATCCCTTCACAGTTCGGTCCCAACCTACATTTCTAACATTCTTCTTCCTGCACTCTATGCTTCAGCCGAACTTCTTATTATACTTCACACATAACACAACTCCATCTCCCACCTCCATTTCTTTGTACTAGCTGTCCCCCATGCCTTGACTATGCTACTTCATCTCTACCTCTTAGAATTTCATTTCCTTCAAACCTCTGCTCAAGAGAAATCTTTTACATGAAGCCTTTCCTAATTATCCCAACTGTTAGTGCCCTATCCAAATTTAATGTCTGTTTATTTTGCACATATTTTGTATCTATGTTTATGTTGTTTCTCCTAATAAGTTTTCTGAGAGCAGGGATTATTTTTAAAAATTGTATACTCAACACCTAGTATAGTACCTGGTGCATAGTAGGCATGTGATAAATTCTTGTCAGTTGATTGAATGATTAATGAAATCATGGATCCATTGGAGTTTTAGAGGCTCTACTTCCTATGTAGTTACAAGCGAACTATAGTAATAGTTATTTTACCTAACTACAAGATAAGATTCTTTTGCAGAAAAAAATTTGTATTTACAAAACTGGCATAAAAGTTTTTGTTGGAAACAAAACTGTAAATAAAACCAAAGCTAAGTATATGCATATCAGTAGTAATGGTACTAAGCAGTTTCTTTTTTTTTTGTTGTTGTTCTAAAAGTCAAGAATGGCATCTATTAAACAACCTAAGGTAATAATTTTATTTTTTAATCACAATTGATCTTTTAACCTACGTGATATGATACATATTATAAATCTTTAATCCTGAGTAGTTCGATCTGAATTCTATAACAGTATATGAGAACAGAGCTATAGGGGCAGCGAGGTGGCACAGTGGATAGAACACCAGCCCTGGATTCAGGAGGACCTGAGTTCAAATCCAACCTCAGACAAATAACTCTTACTAGCTGTGTGACCCTGGGCAAGTCACTTAACCCCATTGCCTAGACAAAAAAAAAAAAGAACAGAGCTTTGACAAGGGTGACCAGGGCTCTTTCTCAGGGCTCTAATGACACCATAGAATAACTGAGGTAGAGCCTATTCAGCAAGAATAATTAAATAAAGTAGGGAAATAAAGTAGGTACCATATGGTGGAGGCTTTATCTTCTCTCTGCCTCTCCCCTGAGCTGAATTTGCCTTAAAAAGTTGATTTTCAGGCACTTTTCACACTCCTTGTTCCAAACCCATTCTGTGTGTGTGAAGCTTGACTTGGGCATTAAAAATGCTAGTTATGGTTCTGTATGAGAGACAGTATCTTTCTATTTTTCTCCCATGATAAAAGTGTATTAAAGGAGATGCCAGGTAAGTTTAAGTACAAAGAGGAAGGGGAGAAATCATTTAAAATTCAGATCTGATGTATCAAAAATAGATTACCAAAGTTATAATATCTTTACAGTTTAGTAGCGTGAATTACTTTGGTCACTTTCAGAAAGGAATGTCTCCTCAATAGTTGGAGATTGCTCCAACAACCTAAAGCATTCAATTCTGTTTGGAAGGGACCTAATCATTTCATACACCTCTGAATGTAGAGAAATTTTCGTTGGAGAAGGCATTTTAATCCTCCCAATGGTAGATGACATTGAATTGAATATATCAGAAGCTTTATTCTGGAAGACTTTTGTTCGAACAGTATAGAGGACGAAAATTTGCAGACCCTATAGATGGAATGAAAACAAAATTTCATTAGTTCAGAGACAAAAAACCAAAGAAGTATTAAATGCAGCCATCTACCCTTCCCAATCCTTATATCTTCCTCTTTAGTTTATATGCTTACAACTATGATTCATGTACTTACCTAAGAGAGGTAAACTCCTAATCTAATTTAATATGCTCTGTGTGACCATGGACAAGTTACTTAACTTCTCACTGCCCCAGGCAATTCTCTGAATATAAATTATGGAGTTGTTGATCTTTGTGGTGGGAGGAAGGAGTTATATACCAGGAGTTCCTTACATTGGTAAAATCACAGATTCTGAATCAAGTAATCATTCAGGAATTTAGGGGTCTCAATAGAAAACTGCAAAACAAACTTTATTAATTATTTATCAATTTATTATTAGTTACTTTTATTTGAAATGGCTATTGCTAAGTATAAAAAATAAACAGGTTTCTCAAACCTTCTTTAACCCACTTTCCCTGCTCAGGGTGAAATTTGATAGCTCTTTGGATAGTATTTATTCCTATTAAGAAAAAAAAAACATTTGTTCACTGACAAGAGCTGTCTCCCACATTTTGAGTAGAACTTATTCTCCATCACATTTTGAAGTTTATTTAGACCACAATCATATAAAGAAATAAATCAGTATGTTGAGATTTTTATGGTAATGTTTAGCCGATGGGTAATTTGTAGAAGTTTAGAAAGATTACTTGAAGAAGGCATTAAAGTTAATATAGTGTTTTAAGAATCCAGAGAGAGTTCTCATAGGATTCCTAGAATATCCTTCATGTAATTAGAAGATAAAATATCATTTCTTGAATTGTGACTTTCAAATGGGATGTCTTGGGACTTCTGGGATGGTAATTATATTCTTTTATTTTTTAATTTTAGTCTTTATAGACGCGTGCCTTCATTTGAAATACATCTCTTGAAATGACAAAAAATGAAAGTTCAACTAGTGACAAATAGTTGCTTCTGGAGGCATAATAGATGAGAGGTGTGTGTGTGTGTGTGTGTGTGTGAGAGAGAGAGAGAGAGAGAGAGAGAGAGAGAGAGACAGAGAGACAGAGAGACAGAGAGAGAGAGAGACAGAGGATAAATATATTCATTATTTGTCCTTAGTGCTTGAAGAGGACCAAAATGACATCACAATGCCAGGGTCAATGTACAATGTGTCTGGCTATAGCTGATCATACCAATATGAGTTCAGAAGGCTCTATCACAAGTTGGGTACAAATAGTCTGTATGACCATTTGGGAGGGAGACATCTCTAAATTTATACACCTTACATTTCTTTGGAGCTACCACAATTCTGCTTTGCTCACAGAGCACAGTGCTTTCTTTGATGCAAGCAGGCTATGCTGGATGATCCCATGTCAGTGTCTCCCATATCTCATAATTGATTCCAAAGTTCTTCAGAGAGTGTCCTTGTATCACTTCCTCTGACCACCAAGTAAGTACCTGCCTTGTTTGAGTTCTCTGTAAGATAGTCTTTTAGGCAAACATATGTTTGGCATTTGAATAACATGGTCAGCACACTGCAATAGAGAGTGAATGTTTGACAGTTCAGTTTGAGAAAAGATCTCAATATGCAGTACCTTATCTTGCCAAGTGATCTTTAGAATCTTCCTAAGATAATTCAAATGGAAGTGACTCATTTTCCTGGCATGACACTAGTATATTGTCCAGGTTTCACAGGCATACAACAATGAGGTCAGCATAATGGCTCTGTAGACCGTCAGTTTGGTTGGCTATCTAATACCACTTCTCTCCCACTTTCCTACAGAGCCTCCCAAACACTGAACTAGCTCTGGCAATGTGTGTGTCAACTTCATCATCTATGTGTACATCCCTGTAAAGTATACTGCCAAAGTAAATAATCTTATCCACAGCATTCAAAATTTATCCATTTGTTGTAACCAATGGTTCCATGTATGGATGGTCTGGTGCTGGCTGGTTCTATTCAAAATTATCACAAGCAGCAGAGAACTGATCCATACTTTGTTGCATTTCAGCCTCAGAGGCTGTATTGAATGCACAATCACCTGTGAACAAAAAGTATTGCACCAACTCTTCCTCTGTTTTATTCTTGGTTTGTAGCCTTTTCAAATTAAATAGTTTACCATCAGTGTGGTAGCTGATGTTGGTGCCATGTTCATCCTCATTGAAAGTGTCTGGCAACATAGCTGACAACATCATGCTAAAAAGCATGGAAGCAAGCACATACCCCTGCTTCACTCCATTCATGGCTGGGAAAACATGAGAGTATTGTCTGTTATCCAAAACCTGTGCAAGTACGGCATGATAAAACTGGTGTACCACACTGATGAATTTCTCTGAGCAAACAGATTTTGCCATAATCTTCCACAGGCCCTCACGACTAACAGTGTCAAAGGCATTGGTTAGATTGATGAATGTTGTATACAGGCCTCTATTCTGCTCCTGCCATTTCTGCTGGAGTTGTCAGGTAGCAAATACTGTACCAACAGACTCCTCAGCCCTTTCTGAAGCCACAGTTGCTCTCAGGTAGATGACCATCTTCCAGGTGAAGGATGAACCCATCAAGGAAGACTCTGGAGAGGGATTGACTTCAACCTGTGGCAGTCAATGGCTTCAGCATAAGTTGGTGAACACTATGGAAGTGTTCAACCCATCTCATGTCCAGTGTGACTCCATCAGCTCTGAGTAGTTGAGATGCACCAAATATCTTTGGCCCATAAATAGCTTTCAAGGCATCATAAAAAATGCTTTGAAATGTTATTATCAGTGTAAAACTGAATTTCATCTGTCTTCTTACTGAGCCAAGAATCCTGCATCTCTCTAAATTTTGCTTGCACTTCACTTTTGATGGAATTAAATGCTGCCTTTTTAGATACAGATGAACCATCCTGCTGGTAGACCCTACACAGTTCTCATTTTTTTCATCAAGTAGCTTCTGAATTTTCCCATGATTTTCATCAAATCAGTCCTGATGTTTGCGAGTGTTCTGGGCCAGATGAGTAAATGCAGTGTTCTACACCAAATGGAAGCCTCACTGTGGAAGTGTTCAGCCCATCTCATGGTGAAAACAGTGTGAAAACACTCTGAAAGCTGCCCACTCCTTTTTTGCTCCACTGTTACCAATAGTGTGTTGACTCAACTTTCTCTCCAAGTCAGTAACAAACTGTTCACACACAGAGAAGTGCTCTAATCTGTTGATGTCTTCTGATAGTTGTCATGCCTTGGGGCTGCTGCTTTTGTTGAATGTAAATGTTTAGCTTGGAGAGGATGTCTATGATCCATCCAACACTCTGCATCACATATAGCCTTCATCATTCTCACATCCTGTCCCTCTTGTTTCCTTACAATGGCATAGTCTATTAAATGCCAATGTTTGCTGTGAGGTTACATCCATGAAGTTTTGTTGCATTTAGGCAAATGGAACACAATGTTGCTTATAATAAGGTCATGAGATGCACAAGCCTTCAATGATCACTGTTGTTGTGTGTTCCATCTCTATTTCTCCCAACAACTCCTGCTATAGCTAATAATCTTTGCCTACTCTGGAGCTAAAGTGACCCAGAATTACAAGATTGTTTTCTTTCAGTGCATTGATAATGAGGGTCTCCTTATGCAAGCATCAGCAGAGGAGCTGTGTTTATTAAGATACTTAATGCATGTTTATTAAAACAAAAAAATGTGAGAGCTATAAAGGACCTTAGAGATCTTCTCATTCAACCCTCTAATTCTAGGAAAGAATGATCCAAAGAGAATTGGGTCAAGAGAGATTAAAAATGACTTGACTAAGGTCACACAAGAAGAAAGTGGAAGAGCTAAGACTAGAACCTAGTTCTCCTGGCTTTCAATGTGGTGATCATTACACTCCACCAAACTGGATGATGGTGGTGGTGGTGGCGATGATGCTTGATGATTTAGGTCCCCCTACCTTCTCCCTCCTATGACAGGAAATTATATTGCCCAAGTTCAGATTAGACAACAATATCCTACCCACCCCCTTCCAAATTTTCTTTTGAAAACCATCTTACTGGGGGCAGCCAGGTGGTGCAGTGGATAGAGCACCAGCCCTGGAGTCAGGAGAACCTGAGTTCAGATCTGGCCTCAGACACATAATACTTCCTAACTGTGTGATTCTGGGCAAGTCACTTAACCCCAATTGCCTCACTAAAAAGCAAAATAAAACAAAACAAAACAAAATCATCTTGCTCTTGGCTAAAGATAATATGAGTCAACAGCTCTTCAAGAAGTATCATTTCCTTTAGGAGAATATGTAGGAGACCCTTTGTGAACCAAGGATTGCTGGAGCAGAGTGATTCCTCAAACAGACTCACAATATGCTTAATTATTACAATCAAATTGAAATTATTAGAAGCATATCATCTGGTAAATCTTGCTTTTGATTTCTTATTAATATAAATAACATATATAATAAGTCCTTTGCTGACAGAATCCCCTATCTCTTACTTATTCCTCCATATGGTCTGTAATCCAAACAGAAATGTTTTCAAACAAGATCCTTCTCCCAACCCAGAGAAGTTAAGAAACTAAATATATGGAGAAGAAGGATAACTCAGTTTATCATTGAATGATTTGGGGAGCTAATTCTATCTCTAACTTCAATTAGAAATCAAAAGGTGTGCAGTATTAAAAAGCAGGAGAGTCTGACTTTTTCCCAGGGTGGCATCATTCTTTTCTTCTTAAGTATTGTGAATTGCCAGAACATATTTAAATGTTAACACAAGAATATATTCTGAAGTCAAACACAAATGATTGTTTGATTAATTGCTGTATTATATTGCCATTCCCCCCAAGCTGTTCTCCATTTTAATAATCATGTTCTCTCTCTTCTCTCCTTTTTCTCTCTCTACCTCATTCTTTCTCTTCTCTTTCTCCTCTCTGTCTCTGACTCTCTCTCTCTTTGCAATGAAAAGCTCATAATAATGTTAATATCATCATTTTGTTTTTACTAAGTCAATTTTAGTAGGAAAAGGTCTGAAATACTAGTTTAAAAGATAGTTTTGAAGGTTTATTACAAATATGTTTAGTTTTATACTTAGAAATGATTTAAAGCGAAAATAGAACTTTAGTTGTATACAAAATTGTGGGTCATAATCACAGCCGTTCCACTAGGGATCTAAGCTCCTAAAATAACTATGTGGTGCTGTCTAGGGCCACTCTGTCCAAGAAAAGCAGACAGCCGACTAAGGAGATGGTTTCTAAAAATGGAATTCAGATTTCTGGACCAAGTCTTAAAATATAGGAATGACAGACTCCTTACCAGTAGAACATATTTACCTAATGTCCTTAAAAAAGAATAGCAACATCTTTAAAATTGTTTGGGAATAAGGAGAATATTATGCATATGCACCAAGAAAGATATTACGAAGAATATCTATAATGAAGGAAGAATAGCATTTGTGATGCCCAGAAGTACAGAGGAGACAAAGATCCAAGAAAAGGGCCAAAAGTAAAACTCCCAGCCTCAAATCTCTGTTCAAAAATGTTTGTTGTTTAAACAACAAACAAGAGACCTTAATGCTAAAAGGCGAATTTGATCTCAGGGATATCACTGAGACTTGGTAGGGTGAAAACCATTACTAGAACATGGCTCTAGATGGATATATCTTATTTTTAAAAGGCAGAATAGGTAAAAGGGCACAAAGCAGCATTGTATATTAAGAAGATAAGTAATAGGAGAATATATCCAGGAAACAGAAAGAGGAAGCATGGTGGAGAATGTTTGGGTGAAGGTCATTGGGAGAAACAGTGACTTTGTCAAGGTAGTAGGAGACACTTTTAATGGGAGGAGGAACTAGATGATGAATTTGGGAAACATCGTAAGCCTGGTCCAGAGCCGTGAAATAGTAGTGATGGTGGATTTCAATTATCCAAACATTTACTGGAGCCCTCTGCCAAAATTGAGGCAGTTAATAGCTTCTTCACTTCCCTTAATCATAATTCCATCCTTCAAAAAGTAGAGAAACTTACACAGTGAAGTTCTAGACTGGATCTGATTCTCATTGATAGGGAGGAATTGGTTGTTAGGGAGGAAATTATTTGAACCTTGTGGGATGGGGAAGGCAGATGACCACTCTCTCAGAGTTTGTGACAGAGAAGGAAGAGAAAGTTTTTGTAGTCTGACGACAACCCAAGATTTTGGGAAAGTAGATATTGAAAGGTTCAGAAAAAGAAATTGGTGAGCTCCTATGGCCTACAATTCTATGGGAGAAGTCAATCCTAGAAGGATGGGAAATTCTCACGAATAAAATCCTGAGGTGGCAGCTAGGTGGTGCAGTGGATAGAGCACCAGCCCTGGAGTCAGGAGGACCTGAGTTCAAATCCTGCCTCAGACACATAATACTTACTAGCTATGTGACCCTGAGCAAGTCACTTAACCCTATTGCCTAGTAACAAAAACAAAAAAAATGAAAGAATAAAAGAATAAAATCCTGAAGACATAAAGGAAAATAATTCTAACAAGGAGAAAAAATAAGACTTATCTGAAGAGACCAATATAGATGCACTATGAACTCACCAATTAACTAAAAATTTTGAAAAGACATACACAGGATACAAAAGCAATAGTAGGTACCAGGATGAATATATAAAAGGATGGCAGAATCCTGTAAAAGTAGTGCTATAGTTCAGAATGAGCTGAGACTGGTAAGGAAAAGCAAAGGACAATAGCTTAGGATTCTTTTTTTAAAACATGCTTCAATCTGTATTCAGATACCATCAGTTCTTTCTCTGGGGATGGAGAGCATTTTTCATCATAAGTCCTTCAGAGTTGTCTTGGATCATTGTATTTCTGAGAATAGCTAAGTCATTCACAGCTGATCATCTTACAATATTGCTGTTACTTTGTACATAGTACATTTCATTTTGCATCAGCCCATGCAAGGCTTTCCAGATTTTTTCTGAGAGCATCCTGCTCATCATTTCTTGTAGTACAATAGTATTTCATCATAATCACATACTACAACGTGTTCGACCATTCCCCAATTGATGGGCATCCCCTCAATTTCTAATTCTTTGCCCCCAGAAATGAGCTGTTATAAATATTTTTGTACATATAGGTCCTTTTCCTTTTCCTTTTTATCTCTTTTGGGATACAGACCTAGTAGTGATATTGCTAGGTCAAAGAGTATGCATGGTTTTAGAGCCTTTGCACATAGTTCCAAGTTGCTCTACAGAATGCATGAATCAGTTCACAACTCTACCAACAGTGCATTAATGTCTTATTTTTCCCACATCTCCTCCAACATTTGTCATTTACCTTTTCTGTCCTATTAGCCAATCTAATAGGTATGAGGTAGTACTCAGAATTGTTTTAATTTGCATCATTATCACTTCACTTCCCAATTTTCCCCCTACCTCTCCTACTTGATTTTCAAAATCCTTTTTGAGCTCTTCTGTGGCCTGAGATCAATTCATATTTTTCTTGGAGGCTTTGGATATAGGAACTTTGACTTTGTTGTCTTCTGAGTGTGGTTTTGATCTTCCTTGTCACATACAAAGCAGACCAAAGTAACCATCAGGAGAGGGCATTAGCAATTATAGAGTGGGAATAGTATATAAGAAAGACTGCTAGGTGGTGCAGTGAATAGAGTGCTGGCCCTGGAGTCAGGAAGACCTGAGTTCAGATCTGATCTCAGACACTTACTAGCTGTGTGATCCTGGGGAAAGTCACTTAACCCTGTTTGCCTCAGTTTCCTCAACTATAAAATGAGCTGGAGAACAAAATGGCAAATCACTCCAGTATCTTTGCCAAGAAAACTCCAAATAAGGTCATGAAGAGGTTGGACATGACTGAACAACTGAACAACAGCAACGAAGAAGTAATGAATGCTTCAACTGGGGTGAACAGAGAGGTGGTCATGGATGTGATTTTGTACAGCAGAGGTGTCAAACACAAGGATAGCTGCTACCCTCAGCACTCCCAGTGCTAACCAGATTAAGATGCAATTGAGAAATATTTAACAAAATAATTTAAGATACAATAGAACACAATGATAACATGTGATTTTCAATATGGAGCCCACAGGGATCCTTATATACAGTTCAGCGGCCCCTTTTTCTACTTGAGTTGACACTACTGATATACAGGGATTCCTGTTCCATTATGGATTAAACTAGATGACCTCAGAGGTCCTTTCCAAACTGGAGATCCTGGAATTCTGTAATTCCATGTCACCAGACAAATGCTCAATTGCCTAGAGTAGATTCAAATTTCCTGACCCTGCTTCAAAGTTCTAGAAGATAATTACTTGACCCAGGATGATTCAATCTCAGTGATGGGGGGACTTTTGTTACTTCTGAAGCTGTTCTCTCTCTACATACCTGTGTCGTGTTGAAAATGCAGAATAAATAGTTGAAGATGATTTTTACATTGTGATCATCTATTAGCATCAGGTAACCCAGAATCCAAGTAAACCCAAAAACCACAACAATGGATAACATGCTAAGAATCTTCTTCATGACTGAGCTCTTTTTTGTGCTGGAGGAGAATGAGAAGAAAAAAAAAGAAAAAGAAAGAATGGGCCACATTTGCACTGGCAACATTATTACCACTAACCACCATCACTTGGCATCAATAGGGATAGGGACAGGACTTGTGATTTATTGGTATAGAGAACTCCTGGGTCCCCATTTTTATTTATACTGCATGAGGTAGGGGGTCCACAGGTTTGGAACATTGCATATCATTACAGATTTTTTTTTAATTTGTTGATCTATTTTAGTAATATTTTTTTCTTCTTCCTCTTTTTAAAAAAAATTCTGCATTATGAGATATTGTTGTCTGGGAGGTTGAAAGAAAGGGATTAAAGGGGGGAAACTAGGCAATGTAAAAATAAAATGTACCAATTAAATATTATGTATTTCTATTGAACATCAAAATTATTAGTCCTTATGAAAATCATAGGCGAGGGTGAATATATAATAATTCTGCAAACTAAGTCACTATGAAGGAGATTGGAGTCATGTGGAAATTTATAAAATGATGGTATTTCAATTGTGAGTCTGAGCGTAACCTTTCACTTGTGATAACCCAGTGATGATTATAGTGTATTCTATTGGGGATTACTTTTTTTTAATATTATAATGAAATTTTATTGTGGTGAATATAATAAGAGTATTGGTCAGGAAGAGACTCTTCTTCTGAATTTTGGACAGTAGTCCTGCACTAAATCTGGCCACTGGAACCAGAGGATCTGGAGGGAAGAGGGAGGCTGGTGACTTTGCACAGCCCTGCCTCATTTAAATCCAATTCACTGAAAGTCATGACATCACCTCCCTAATGTCATGGTCCTTTTCAAGAACAAAGGACAAACAACATGACCCTGAGCAAGTGACTTACCTTTTGAATTAGTTTCTTCTTCTATAAAATGAGGAAAATAATAGCATTTACCTCCCAAGGTTGTTATAAGGATAAAATGAGATAATACATGAAAAGCATCTTACAAACCTTGAAGTGCTATGTAAATATTAACTCCCTATTATTACTACATTTGGGGTGTGTGTGTGTGTGTGTGTGTGTGTGTGTGTGTGTGTGTAGTCTGGGTTTGGGAACATCTTTCTTTCCTCCCAGCCTCTCACCTTTATGCTAACCAATAAAAAGAGAGGAAAAGGTATCTGCTGGTAATAAAACAGGATAAAGCTTTTTCTAATCTAGCCTTGTTTCTTTGCCTCATTAACCTTTGTACTGGACTCCTTGTCTGACTTTTCATCAGCGGGTGAGCTCCATGCTTTCTCACTCCTCATTGGCACGTTATTTGACAAATTTTGCTATCTCTTAATGACTTCGCATTTTAAGTTGCTTCTTGTTATGTTTGGCTGAAGGATGACTTCTAGCATTTTAGAGCTGGTAGCCACCTTTGAGATCATCTATTCTAAGCCCCTCATTTTGCAAATTAATAAAACTGAGGCCCAGAGAGGTTAACTGACTTGCCAGAGGTCACACAGTTGGCTGGCAAGCAGCAGGGCTGGGAATATATGAAGCCAGATCTCCTATTTGCAGTTTCTATTACACTATTCTGCTTTATTGAGTGACCCCCCCCACACACACACACAGAATCCCAGTGCCCATATGATTCTCCTGGTATTTATGGTACATCAGGACTTTCAAAGTGGACAAACAGAAATGGAAGCTATATCAATAGTAAATAAGAAAGGTAGAGGCACAGTCTCTAGAAGGCTCCATTTGTATCACATGTGTAGAAAAAAGAGCACTGGATTTGGAAAGACCTGGTTTACTATTTCAAAAGTTAATGTAATTTAAAGCCATCAAGCACTAAAGAAATATAAGTCATTACTAGTGACTTCCACTCAATACCATTTCTCTCCTGATCTCATGAGTGATCAATGGCATGAGTTTGCAGGAAGACTGAGATAAAGGGTCATGGAACACATCAAAGCTAACTGGATGATGTGTGCTCCAGGCTAGGTCTGACTCAGGCCAGTCCTCCTGGGAGTTTCGGTTTAGCACTGGAACAAAATGAGACCAAAAATGAGCATTAAGAGATTGACTGGTTCTTTGAACCAGGCTTTTAAATTTTCATCCTTCAAAGGTTGCTCCTAACAAAGTACAAGTAATTACCAACATCTTTTTACAAATTTCTCAATTTTTTTCAGAGGTTCAGATCAAATATCTCTCTTATGCAGGGTATGCCTATGCTCATTTAGGCCCTTGTTGTCTTTCACTTTGACTACTATAATAAGCTGAAAACTGATCTCTCTCCAGTATGCCCCTCTCCTATATATTTTTCACCCTACTGCTCCAAAGTAATCTTCTTTATACATAAGTCTGACTCTGTCACTGTCCTGTTCAAGGACCTTTAGTGACTACCCATTGCCCATCAAATACAGCACAGACTAAGTATCCTGGCATTCAAGGCCTTAACACACTCCAGCCCCAACTTAACTTTCTAGCTTTTTTTTTTTTTAATTACTACTGTTGGCATATTCCATGTTTCAGCAAAACTGGACTAATAGTAAGAATTGCTTTGTGGTTTTGTTTTGTTTTTTTCATCTTCGTATTTTCAGGGCCTACTACAGTGCCTGACACATAGTAGATGCTAAATAAATGCTTGTTGGTTGATTGATTGTGGTCCTTGATCTCATCAATTCCTTTTCCTACTTCCATGCCTATATGTAGGCTATTCCCAATGGCTGGACCATATTCCCTGACACTCTTCCCTTTGACATCCTTTCTTTTACTCTCAGCTCAGCAAGGCTTTTTCAAGATTCTTTCCCTAATCCCCTTCACTGGGAGCCTACCCTTCCTTCATAAATACAGACCACCTTGTCTGATCTCTTTAATACATTGATTCAATAATTTTCTAACTTGTATTATAGTTATTTGTGTACAGATTTTTTTTAACTTTTTTTATCCACCTAGAAGACTGTAAGTTATTAAAAGGCAGGAACTGTACTGCTGTTCATCTTTGAGTCCTCATCAGCTGGACAGTGTCTGGCATATCAGGCCTTAATACATGTTTATTAAATTGAATTAAATAATAATTCTTTCTGATTTAATAATTAAGTCAAAATTAATCAATTATTATTAATTAAATCATAATTCTTTGGTGTTATATTCATTATGAAATATAAATAATAATTATGATGGTTTATAATAATAATATAGAATACATAAAATATGGATTATGTCCATGATGACAGGCAGCATGATGTAGTTGATAGAGGCTTGGCCTTGGAATCAAGGAAGACTTGATTTCACTTCCTGCCTCCGACATATGCTAGCTGTGTGATCAAAGGCACTTACCCTCTCATTGACCTCAGATAACCTTCTAATACTATAACTTTTCTTTCTTTCTTTCTTTTTTCTTTTTTTCTTTCTTTCTCTTTTTTTTTTGTGTAGAAGCAATCAGTGTTAGTTTGCTTGCCAGGGTCACACAGCTAGTAAGTATCTGAGGTCAGATTTGAACTTAGATCCACCTGACTCCAGAGCAGTGCTGTATCTACTGTGCCACCTAGCTGCTCCCTAATATTATAACTTTCAAATGAGCTGTTGAGCTGAATTGGTGGATGGAGTTTCCACACTGAAGAAACTTCTGTTGGTTATCTCCAATTTATCCTGTTTATAGCTTATTTGTACATAGTTGCCACGTGTAGACTCTCTCATGAGGTCCTTCAGAGCAGGGACTACTTTTTCCTCTCTTCTTATCCCTGGCACTTAAGAGTACGTGCACATAGGAGGTGTTTAATAAATGCTCGTTGACTTCATTTGACTTGACTCATAGTGGGGTTTGTCAGGTATTGACTGAAGTTAGGTGAATGACATGAAAAACGACTCCCAGAAATATACATTGCATGTAAGCTTCTTGAAGGTAGTGGCATTTTCCCAGCACCTCTTCCCAGGGCCTAGCACAGTGCCTGCCACATTTTTTGTTGTTATTTGGTCGTTCAGTCATGTCTGATCTTTTGGATACTGGGGACCCTACTGTCCATGGGGTTTTCTTTGGTAAGGATACTTGGAATGGTTTGACATTTGCCATTTCCCTTTCCAGTGGATTAAGGCAAAAAGAAATTAAGTGACTTGCCCAGGGTCACATAACTAGTAAGTATCTGAAGCTTGAACTCATTTTGATTTGCAGTCAGGTCATTCCTGACTCCAGGACTAGCACTCTAACCACTGAGCCACCTAGCTCCCTCCAAGGCAAACAGATATTAAGTGATGTGTCTAGGATCACACAGCTAGTAAGTATTTGAACTAAGGTCTTCCTAACTCTAGGCCCAGTGCTTTATCCACTGAGCCACCTAACCACCCCATCCTGGCATATAATAGGCATTTAATAAATATTTATTAACTAATTGAAATCTCATATTTATGAAATATAAAGACATATATGTGTATAATATACATTATGCATAATATATATACTTAAATCATTTTTAAAGGACTTTTTTTCTCTTGAATTTTGTTTTGTTTTTCAATTTGGCTCACAAAAGTGAAGCATCTTATCATCAAACTATTGTTAGGGGATAAAAATAGCTGAGTGTTATAGTGAAAGAGATATACTACACAGCTAACTAACAACACAAAATCTGACCCAGCATCTATCCCAGGAATATTTCAGAACTTCAAGGAATCCATAATTTCATCAAGGCAGTAGTTTCCTCCCTTCTGCAATTTGGTGGACAAATCTTCTAACCTGAAAGCTTGTGACCAAATTAGGAATGCTTCCCAAACTTCAGCAAGGCCAGTACTTTGATTGAAAGACACATAGGGCCCATTCTTCTATTTGGTAGGCCTTACACAACTGGTATTTCCCTGGCATAGGCTTAAGAATGCAGAACCCACCTCTTACCACAATGAGGCCATAGAGGGTGACTTCAATGAGTTTTATTACACACTGAATTAAATCATGCCTAAAGGCTTCCCCTCATTACCTCTTACCTCTGCAAGTTCTCATTTCTTCCCCATAGAACTTTGACTGTGATGATAATAAATATGACAGCATTAGTGATGAGAATGATAGTTGCAGGTAAAATGAATGACCACAACCATGGGCTCTCCAGATAATTGCCATCTTCTGGAACTGCAAGCCAACATCTATTAAAAACAGGAAATTATTTTACTGAAGTGGTCACATTCATTGCTGTCCTTTGCTATTAAAGAGCTTAATGAACTCAGATTTAAAGAGCTTTTTAAAAACCAATGCTTCTTTCTCATCCCTTATAAATCAACAAGCAATTATCAAGCACCTACTATTTGCCAGGCACTGTTTTAGGTGCTGGAAATTCTTACATTATTAGTTGGCTTTCTATAGTTAGTACTTGTGAAAAGATAAAATAGTCAATCTCCTTTTCTGCCTTATTTCTCCAAACGCAAGTAAAATTCTATTATAATAGACTCTGTAAAATCTCTATCCAAATTGTTTTATCCCAAAATTGTGCAAATAATCCCAAAATTGTACAATCAAAGTGTGCAAATAATATCTCTAGAAACCACACTCCAGGTATGTTTGACCTGTCAATGAAACAGAGCTGATTTCTATTTCTCATTCTAATTATTTAGTAAATTAAAAGCACTGAGTCACAAAAATGCCAATGATGTGCCCCCTTCTCTCCAAAAAGAATTGTTTTGAGTCCAATAGTTAAAGATAGGACTAAATTGTGAAATAAGCAAGCTTGTCTTAGGTATCCCTAGCCTCTACTTTTCCTCAGCTCATCTTCCTCTACCAAATCTATTCTCAGGACAAAGTATAACAAACTCATAGAAATTTTATACTGACAGGAAACTTTGAATTAATTAATTTTTAAAAATTATGATGCACTTACTAAGTCCCAGCCTCTGTGCTAAGAGCTGGTGATACAGATATAAAAGTCCTCAAGGATATGAGTACTGATGGGGGTAGGGAAGGGTAGAGACAACATATATAGGGGAGTGGTGCCCAGAAAAGTTCCAGATGGTGAGTGAAATAGGAGAGTTCATTGACAAATCATTTCCCAAAGCAATAGTATCATTTGAACTCTAGAGCAAGAGGTAGAAAGGAATGGGGGGGGGGGGTGCACATATTTTTAAAAAGTGAATTCAATAGTTATCAATAATCACAAAAACTTCAAGAAACCACCTTTTTTTCATTTTTATGGAGGAAGATGGAACCTCCAATCCTTTGATTTCCCTTATTAATGGTGATGTGGAACATATTTTTATCTAATCTTTTATAGCTTGCCAATCTTCTGAAAACTATTCATACCTCTGACTATCTATTTATTGGAGAATGGCTCTTGGTATATATTTATATTGATTTGATGTATATTTTATGTATTAGACTTTTATCAGTGATATTTGATACCTTTTCCCATTCTACTTTCTCATATAACTTTATCTTAATTGATTTTGTTTATGCTAAATTAATTAATTAAATATATTTATTTATGCCATTTATTTATATTATCAAAATTATATATTTCATTTTTATTATATTTTTATGAATCTCATTCACTTTATGTATCTCATCACTCAACTAATTCTACTCTTTCCAAAGTTACCAGTGATTTTTTATTTGCCAAATCTAATGATCTTTTCTCAGTCTACATCCTTCTCCATCTCTCTACTGCATTTGATACTACTGTCCACTCCCCACTCTCTGGGTTTTAATAACACTGCTCTCTCCTTTTTCTCCTCCTGTCTGTCTGACCACTTCTTCTCAGTCTCTTTTATTGGCTCATTATCTAGACCACACCCTCTAACTCCAGGTATTCTTTGAGGTTCTATCCTGGGCCTTCTCTTTTTCCTCAATTAACCTTTCTAGCTTCCTTGGGCATTACCTTTTCTGCACTCGAGATCCAGCCAAACTGGCCTTCTCTCTCTTTTCTTCATATACAATACTCAATCTCCCATCTCCATGCACTTGCATTGCACTATCCCACTTGCCTAGAATGCAGTCTTTTCTTACTTCTACCTAATAGAATGCATCTCTTCCTTGAAGATGCAGCTCAAGCATTATCTTCTGCATAAAGCCCCCAAATTATCTCATATTTAACTACTTTGTATGTATTTACATATGTGCTTGTCTACCCCATTAAAATATAAACTCTTTGCAGGTAGGGATTGTTTCGGTCTTTATACTTGTATCTTCAGTGCCCAGCACAGTGCCTGCCAATTTGTAGGGGCTTAAAATACTTGGTGACTGATAGATTGATCTCCTCTATCCCTTCTTTGATTAAAAATTCTTACTCAACCCATCATTGGAAAAGGTCTCTGATTTCATTCATTTCTATTTTTTTTGTATGATCTTTATATTCAGGTCACATGTCCATTTTGAGGTCACATATGTTACAAGATGTTGATCTTAACTGAACATCTGGCAAATTGCTCTTCAAGTTTTCAAATAGTTTTTATCAAAAAGGGAGTAAGTCTTCCCAGTGAATCATCTTCTTGGGTTTATCAAATACGTGTCTATATTTTAAATTACTTCTATTTCTTGCTTATCTAAAATTTTTATTTTTTTACCAATAATTTTTGATGACTATCACTTTACAATATTGTTTGAGGTATGATAATACTATGTTCCTCTCATTTATACTTTTTTCATTGTTTTCCTTGGTATTATAAGCCTTTTTTCTTCCAAACAAATCTTGTTATAATTTTTTCTAGTTTTATAAGGTATCTAATCAGAGAAATTAATTAGTATAGCACTAAATCTGTAATTAACTTATACAGTATTGTCATTTTGGAATATTGATATATCCCAGGCATAAGGAATGCTGATCTCTCCATTTAAAGGTTTGACACATTCCTCTTTTAAATTCATTTGGCCTATTTTCCCATCTCCTTGGCATTTCACTTGTGGGTTGCTAGTATTTATTTCTCTGACTGAGTTTTTTAAAAAGTTTGTATTTCTTCTTTTATTAGTTTGTATATTTTATATTTTTATAGAAGCTCATCAATTTCTTTTGAATTCTTAATTTTCTGGCATATTATAGCTTATGTCTTTTTTATTTCCTCTCTTTGTGAATTCACCTTGCTCATTTTTTATTTTGGCAATATGACTTTCTTATATTTTCTCTGAGCAGGTTAACAAATGGTTTATTGACTTTGTTAATCTTTTTCTTTCTAACTTTATTCATTGTTTAGTGTTTTCTATTTTTCATTTCTCTATTTGTTCTGTAACTTCCAAGAACTCTTCTTTTGTACTTTTTTTTAAAGCATTACTAATTTGTTTATTTTCTAGTCCTTTTAACTTCATGCTAGTTTATTGAATTTATACTTTTCTCATTTTGCTCCTACTTTAATTTAAAAGTTCAAATTTATAAAATCAGGGGATGATGATTCACGTTACAAAAAAATTATTGTAGAATTCATTTTTTTAAAAGCATTGCCCATAGGGCAGCTACATGGCACAGTGGATAGAGCACTGGCTTTGGAATCAGGAGGACCTGAGTTCAAATCCAACCTCAGACACTTGACACTTACTAGTTGTGTGACCATGGGCAAGACACTTAACCCCAATTGCCTCACCAAAAAGAAAAAAAAAGCATGCCCTGTGCATTTAAAATAAGTGATTTTCAAATTTTTGTTTTATACAATCTTTTTACAAACAAATTAAATAACATATCTGTTCCATTTTTTCAATTTCAACACCAAAGAACAGGTAAACATAAGTGGTCAACTTACATTATCTCTTGTCGGTATCCTAATGCCCCTTTTAGTGGATAAATAATTCCCACTGTTAAAGACACTATTATAGCAGGTATTCCTGTTTGATAGAGATACTAAGAATTAGTTAATCACATATGAGCAGGAACTAATCATATGTACAAAAGAAATTCTTCTTAAACTACATCAGAACTTTTTTTTAGGTGGCCAGAATACACACAGTATTTGCTCTATGCTCTACTGGAAACATGATTTATTGTTCTTCCCACTATGTTCTTGCATTGAACATCCAGAGTAGTAACTAGTAGTGCCCTAGAAAAATAACACAAAATATGTCCTCAAAAGAAAAATTCATGTATGGGAGGAGGGAGACCTTTGAACACTAAAGTCATGAGGCTGCTTCTAGAAAAGCTGTGTTGAGAAATAGAAGAGTCAGGCCAGGGAGTTACTCACTTGTTCTATAGCCACAGTGAGGAGGAAGCCTGCTCTTTGGTGGCTTTGTTATTTAACTTATAATTGTTGCTGAATAGGCACAAAGTTCAATTTCTAGCCTGCCTTTTAAAGGAGTGAAAGTATGGTTAAACTCCTCTAAATGCTTGTGTCCTTGGGCAAAATCCTCATCAACCCATTCTAGTTAAAACTCTTGGAGTACTACATGATTGCCCATTTCCCCCCCTCCCCATTTCCCAAATAATTGTTTCAGATATCTCTATCTTTTTTGACTTTTTTGTAACCTGGTATATCTTTACATTCATCAATACTCAATAGGTCCCAATGCACCTCATTGTTTTGTTGTTCAGTTGTTTCAATCATATGTGACTCTTTGTGACACCTTTTGGGTTTTCTTGGCAAAGGCACTGGAATGGTTTGCCATTTCCTTCTTCAGTTCATTTTACAGATGAGGAAACTGAGACTAACAGGGTTAAGTGACTTGCTCAGGGTCATACAGCTAGTGTCTGAGGCCAGAATTGAACTCAGGAAGATGAATCTTCCTAACACTCTATTCATGATACCCTTCAGTGTACTTTATGTTCAATTTAAATCCAGATGTCAATACAATAATTTTCTATTGTTGGTATATTTCAAATTATTTTTCTTGGTGTCAGTCAGTTTTTGGTTTTGTTTTGAAATGTCCCCTTTAAGTGTTGTGCAGGGTGTAACTAAAATTTTAAATTCTGGGTTTGTTCTAATAAAATAAAAAAATTGAAATTAACAGAGATGACTTGATAACATGAAATCCTTTAAGTTAGTGGGTTGTTGTTGTTGTTGTTGTTGTTGTTGTTGTTATGGTAATGTAAAAGAACAACTTCTAACAGGAGGTAGAACAATACTTAATACTTACCCCATCCCATTAGAAACAGAAAGAGAGTGAAATGCGGAGGGAGTGGTTTCATAGCTCTGAGCAGAAGAAAGCACAGTTGTACAGCATTGAGGCATGTCCAGGTCAATGTCACCAACAGAAAATAATGCAGTAAGACAGTCATCACTGTGCATGTATGATTTTCTGGAGGATTAATATCATGTTGAGGGATCACATTGTCATCTTCAGAGCTCCTGTTGCTATTTTTATTAGAGTTTTCTATTCCAAAGAGGAAGAGGATGTTGAAAATCAGCATAGATGTGCAGAGACTCACAAACACCCAGGTAACTGAAGTTTTTCTAAGTTTCCTATTGGGAGAAAACCCCAGTAAGATCATGGAGAAATAAAACATGATAAGAAAAAGATTTTCTTCGTATAATTCTTAAAATATGTTGCATTTTTCTTCACTCTACAAAAGACACTTAATCATAGATCTACTCTGATTGCATTGTGTTTACAAAGCCTATCTTAGGAAAAGCTCCAAATTGAGGTTGGGTTTGGTTTTTTTTTGGGGGGGGGGGGGGAAGACTGAGGCTGCAGCTAGGTGGCCCAGTGGATAGAATACAAAAACTTGCTATATGTCTAACCCATCTTTTTTTCCCTAGTAAACATATCTCTCTAATAGCATTTTTATGACAATTCTCGATACATAATTCTTAGCCGATAATATGTTGTACTCTGCTCACGGCCACAATGCACCTCTTTGCTGCCCTTTGGAAACAACTGACTCAAAATTTAATTTTCCAGAATCACTGAAAGAATACTGTTGTGGGAAAGATGAGCTAAAACATTTTTGCTCACATACACATACACACACAAAACCAAAGGGAAAAATAGCTAACTTGGGAAAATATTTGCAGCAAGTTTCTCTAATAAAGGTCTCATTTCCAAGACACGTAAGGAACTGACTCAAATTTATATTAAAGAACCATTCATCAGTTCATGAGTGGTTAAAAGAAAGGAACAGGGAGTTCTTAAAAGAAGAAATTCAGGTATCAATAACCACAAGAAAAACAATGCTCCGAATCACTAATGATTAAACAAATATAAATTAAAGCTACTGTGATGTTCGACCTCATCCCCATCAGATTACTGAGTTGTAAGAAAGGAAAATGACAAATGACGGAGGAGCTTTGGGAAAACAGATGTATTAATGCACTGTTGGTGGAGCTGTTAATCAGTTCTTCTGGAAAGCAGTTTGGAACTATGCTGCAAATGTTACTAGACTGTGCACAGTGATACACACACACACACATGTGCGCACACACATACACATGCACACACATATGTATAAATATAAATGATGCATAGCCAGCCACTCATCTTGTAGTAGCAAATATCAGAAAACTAAAAGAACACATGTCAATTGGGAATGGCTGAACAAAGTATGGTATATGACTATAATGAAATACTGTTGTACCAAAACAAATAATGAAAAGGATGGTTCTAGAGAAACCTGGATAGACTTGTATGAATTGGTGCAGAGTAAAATAAGCAGAACCAGAACAATTTATACTATAATAACAATATTGTTGAAATGAAAAACTGAAATATTTAAGAACTTTAATCAATTGACTACCCATGATTCCATGACAATGAAGGATGGTAGTTCCTTCTGACTAAGAAGTTAAGGCCTAAATATGCAGGTTGTGTCATGGATTTTTGGACATGGTCAATGCAGTAATTTGTTTTACATAACTATGCATGCTTATTACAAGAGTTCTGTTTTTTCTGGGGTAAGGTGGGAGAGAGAGAAAATAAGTGCTTGTTAAATGAAAAAAAAATAATTAAAAGAAGAAATTTGTTTTAGAGAGAAGCTTGTGGTCATTAAAAAGACTTCACAACTTCCCTAATACAATCTAGCTGGTTTTCTGTCTCCAATTTAATTCTGGGCTGAACTCACTGTCCAAGATCAGTGTCTGTTCAAGGTAGTTTATCTATCCAGCTGCATAACACAGTCAGAGCAATGGATGCTTTTCACCCACTTGGTTTTTCCTATGTAGTTAGTTACGCTAAAATCTTTCAAGTAGTAGTTCTCAAACTTCTTCTCAGGACCCTTTTATATTCTTAAAAAATTATTGAGGGCTCCCTCTTCCAAAGAGCTTTTACTTAATGTGAGTTATATTGTCAATATTTACTATATTACAAATGAAAACATCCGTATTATTGTAAAAATTATTTTGACCAAAATGGAAAACAAAGAATAATAGAAGTTATAGGTAAAACTGAAAGCTAGTTCTTTGAAAAGACTAATAAAATTGATAAACTTTTAGCTAATGTAATTTAAAAAGGCAGAAAATAAAATTGATAAAATAGCAAATGAACAAGTTAAAATCACAAAAAAAATAAGAAATATACAGAAAAATCAGAACATTTTTATGCCCAGTTATATACTTTAAAAAAAACTGAGGACATAAAAAGAAATAGAGGAATACATTCAAAAATATAAAATACCCAAACTGTCAGAAGATCAGATAGAAACCTTAAACAACCCAATATCAGAAAAGGAAATAGAACTAGCTGCAAAGGAACTCCTAAAGAAAAAGCTTCTGGTCTTGATAGATTCATGAGAGAATTCTATCAATTTTTTAAAGAACAATTAATACTCATACTTACAAATTATTCTAAAAAACTTAAAAGAAACCAACCTACCAGAATCCTTTTATGACACAAGTATAGTACTAATACCTAAACCAGGGAAGGATAAAACACACAAGGAAAACTGTAGGCCAAAATCATTCATGGCTAGTGACTTAAAAATTTTCAACAAAATCCTGTCAAACATATTATAGTGATTTATCTGAGAAATCATTCATGGTGACGAAGTTGGATTTATGTCCAGAATACAAGGATAGTTCAACAGTAAGAAAACAATCAACATAATTAATCATATTAAAAACCAAAGCATCAAAACCCAGATGATTGAATTAATAGATGCAGAAAAAAACTTTCAACAGTACCATACTCATGCTAAAAACCCTAGAAAGTTTAGGCATAGGGAGACCTTTATTTAACAACATAAAAAAGCATCTGTCTAAAACCAAAAGCAAGCATCGTATGTAGTAGAATACACTAAAACCTTGCCCAATAAAAATGGAAATAAAGCAGGGGGCAGCTAGGTGGTGCAGTGGATAGAGTACTGGCCCTGAAGTCAGGAGAACCTAGTTCAAATCCAGCCTCAGACCAAACACTTGACACTTACTAGCTTTGTGACCCTGGGTAAGTCACTTAACCCCAGTTGCTTAGAAATTTAAAAAAAAATTTTTTTTTTAATGGAAATAAAGCAAAGATACTCACTCTCAGCACTATTATTTTATATAGTTCTGGGAATGCTAGCAACAGCTATAAGACAAGGAAAAGAAATTAAGAGCATAAAAATAGGCAAAGAACAAATAAAGTTATCCTTATTTGCTGATGATATACTGGCATACTTGGAAAATCCTAGGGAATCAGTGAGAATAACTAATTAAGTCAATTAATAGCATTAGCAAAGTTGCAGGCAACAAAATAAGCCCTCAAAAATCTACTACATTTCTATACAATAATAACAAAAACTTATTGGAGTTTTTTTCCCACAAAATGACTAATATGGAAATGTTTTATATTATTACACATGTATAATCTATGTCAGATTGCTTACCATCTCAGAGAGGGGGGAGAGGAGAAAGGGAAGGATACAATTTGAAACTGAAAACTTAAAAATGAATGTTAAAAATTGTTTTTGCATGTAATTGGAGAAAAATAAAATATTTTTTATAAAATAAGAAAACACAAGAAGCAACATTAGGTAAATTCCATTCCAAAAACCTGAAAAATGCACCAAATGACTGAGGATCAGTCTACTAAAGCACATAAATTACATATCCCTTTAGTTACAAAGTGCTCCTTAAAGAAATAAAGAACAACTTAAACAGCTGGAGGAACATTCAGTGCTCATTGCTAGGCCTTGGTCATGCCAATATAATAAAAATGACAACACTACCAAACTTAATTTATACTTTTAATGCTGTACCAATCAAATGACCAATGGAGTATTTATAGGACTTGACAAAATAGTAGCACAATTCATTTGGGGGGAAAAAAAAGATCTAAAATATGAAAGGAAATGATGAAAAGACATGTAGACAAATGGAAAATAGCACTTCTAGGCCTCAAACTGTTATAAAGCAGCAGTCATCCAAACCATTTAATATCCGTTTGAAAATAGAAAGATGGATCAATGAAGCAGATTAGATAATGGATAGAATCAGAAACAATGGAACTCAATAACCCAGTGTTTGATAAAGTGGAAAACATAAATTACATAGGAAAAACCTCTTTATTTGATAAAAATTGCTGAGAAAACTGGAAAGTTTTATTGTTTAGCCACTTTCAGTCTTGTCTAACTGTGCATGACCCCATTTGGGGTTTTCTTGGCAAAGATACTGGAGTGGTTTACCATTTCCTTCTCCAGCCCATAGATGAGGAAACTAAGGTAAACAGAGTTAAGTGACTTGCCCAGGGTCACACAGCTATTAGGTATCTGAGATCAGACTGAACTCAGGAAGATGAGTTTTCTGCTTCTAGATCCCACACTCTATCTACTGCACCACCTAGCAGGAAAGCTGCCTGGCAAAAATTGGGCTTAAATTAATACCTTATACAAACCATATCACATAATACATCTTAAATGGATATATGACCTTAATATTGAAGATAATATTATAGAAAAATTAGAAAAGAAACAGATCATATACCTCTCACAGCTATGTCTGGGAGATATATTCTTAGCAAAATAAGGGTTTGAGATAATTACAAAAGGTAAAATAGATAACTTTGACTACACGTAACGGAAAACCTCCCACATAGACAAAATTGATGCACCTAGGATAAGAGAGGAAATGGTTGAATGAAGGGGAAAAAAATGTTTGTATCAAATTTCTCTGATAAGGGTTTGGGATCCAAGATATATAAACAAACATATACATATATGTTTATGTAAATATGTAGATAGATAGATAGATATACAAATAGATACAGATAAAATATAGATGTAGATAAAACTAATAGCCATTCCCCAATAGGTAAATGGTCAAAAGATAAAAATAAACAGCTCTCAAAACAAGAATTGCAAAATAATTACAACCTCATGAAAGAATTCTTCAAATCATTAATAATAAGAGAAATGCAAGTCAAAAAACTCCTGAGGTTTCACCTTCATATCCTGCAAATTGGCAAGGATGGCAAAAAATGGCAATAATCAAATTTGGGAGTAGTTGGGGGATGATAGGCATGTTAACACATTGTTGGCAGAGCTGTGAAATGGTACAACCATTTTGGAAAGCAATTTGGAATTGTGCAAATAAAGTGACTAAAATGTCCATACCTTTTGAACTAGAGACTCTGTAACTGGGCTTATAAAAGAAACTATTGATAAGAAAGTCTTCATGTATACCAAAATATTTATAGCAACACTTTTTGTCATAACAAAGAATTAGAAACAAAGTAGATGTCCATCAGTTGGAGAATATGTAAGTAAATTGTGGCATAGGAATATAATGGAATATTACTGTACTGTGAGAAATGATGAATGAGATGAATACAGAAAAACATGATAAGATGTACATGAACTAATGAAGAGTGAAGTAAGCAGAACCAAGAAAACAATAAGAACAATATTGTTCAATCATTTCAGGAATGTCTAACTCTTTGTGACCCCATTTGGGGCTTTTTTTTTTTTTGGCAAAGATGCTATAGTGGTTTGCCATTTTCTTCTCCAGTTCATTTTACTGATGAGGAAACTAAGGCAAACAGGGTTAAGTGATTTGCCCAGGGTCATACAGCTCATAAGTGTCTGATGTCTGATTTGAACTCAGGAAGATGAGTCTTCCTGACTCCAGGTCTAACACTCTATCTACTGTACCACCTAGCTGCCCAGTTTTCTCTTTAGCCTGTACTTTAAGGCTTTCCAACTCAGAAAGATCTACCTAAGCTGAGACCCAGTGGACATAGCTTTCAAGACCTTAACATATAATTTACAAAATATATTGAGGGAATGTCTCCCATGCCCATAAAGAATTAGAATATGTTCAGGATAAATCAGATGAACATAGCAGATTTTCTTATGAGAAACCCCTTTTCCCTCTTACCTGGTAACAATCTGAAATATAATTGTAATAGCCAAAGCAGCAATGGATAATCCACAACCAATTTTAGATATAATATCTAGAGAGTCAGGATAACTGTAATTGTAATCAAAACTCTGAAAAACAATTGGAAAATCACATTTAAAAACTTTTCCAAGCAATGTTTATGCAAAATCAATTAATTTCAACTGCATTTAACCAACATTCATGAGGATAAGTGCATAGTATTTCCATTTTCTTCTCTCCTTTTATCGTCCCTACACCATTATTCAAGTTATCGCCTGCTAAAGACAGACTTTTAGTACAAGCCACAGTTGTCCAGTTATTCTGATCCAAGTAGATAGCCAAATTGACTAACCAGGACCTTTCTCTGTCCAAAAACCTTTAGCCTGAGTTTGACCCAGAGAACTATGAGGCAGCCTGCCACAGTAGCAAACAGACTATTTGAAATCAGAAAGACCAGGGTCACTCCTACTGATACCTGCTCACTGTGTGATTATGGACAAGTCCTTTACCAAATCTGAACCTCAGTTTCTTCATCTGTAAATGAAGACAATAATATCTGTAGTATATGACTCACAGATTTTTTTGAGAGGCCCAGATAAGATAATGTATGTAAAGCATATTACAGATCTTAAGAGGGCTATGTAAGGTGTCACAAAAGCCTTTCTATAGTTTTTAACTCTTTGAGGACACCTTGTATAAATGACAATTATTATTTATTACTTAGATCAAATTAACCTGCAAAAATCTCCATTTTATTTTGTGACATATAGACATACAAAAATGAGACATCTCTTCCTTAATGCAATTCACTTAATTTGAAGTGGAGAATTGAAAACAATTTTCTTGATCATTCAATTGGAAGGGGAGAGAACAAAGTTGTCTAGAGGATGACTGAAACATTCTGAATGCTTTATCAGGGCATCAAATTCTCTCTCTGCAAAATTTAGGGATGCAATTCAACAAAGACCTCTGAAGTTACTCCATTTTTTAACCCTTAAAATAGCCCATCTCAGGCAAGTCACTTGGCCTCTTTGTTTATGTGTCCTCATATGTAAAAAGAAGGGGCTGAACTAGATGGATTGTAAGGTCCTTTCCAGCTCTATATCTATGATGCTAAGACCCTGTGATGTTCTAGATTAGAGAGGATCATCTTTCCAGATTCATAGTTTCAGTAATGGGAAAATTCAGCCTTCTGTGAGAAGCAGAAATTCACCTTACTCAATTCTACAATAAGTCATCTTTCCAGGATGCAATGGAGACTTGTTTCAATACTTCCACAACCTATGATTTCATAGGTGTGGATACCCCCTTCCACCAAAGCAGATGTACTTTGCTTATGACTTAATAGATAAGACCTAAAGTGCTCCCTAAGACATAAAATAGAGAAGTGGCATGCTCAGGATCACATGGGTAAATGTCAGACCTTATGAACCCAGGGTATTCTGACTTTAAGCCCATCACTCTATGTATAAAAAATGCCACACACCATTCTTTAATTTACTAATGTTGTTGTGTAGTCATTCAGTCATGGTGGACTCTTTGTGACTCCATTTGGGATTTTCTTAGCAAAGATACTGGAGTGGTTTGCCCTTTCCTTTTCCAGCTCATTTTACAGATGAGGAAACTGAGGCAAACAGTTAAGTGGTTTGCCCATGGTCACACAGCTAATAAGTGTCTGAGGCCAGATTTGAATTCAGGAAGATGTATCTTTCTGACTTCAGGGCCAGCACTCCATCCACTGAGCCATCTAGCTGCCCCAATTTACTGATATACATAATATTAATTTCCTGACGTGGATTAGTCTATGAAGATAAACTGGATTCCACTACGACAGTGAACCAGATTCAATGAATAAAATTAGGACACCATGATATGATTTAAAAATGAGGGAAGAGCTCTTACCATTAATGCAGCAAAACTAGTGGTGTGGTTGCATTGACATCCAAGGAATTGAGAGTTGTTGTTGGGTTTCTTTTGACACCCGTAAGTATCCCAGTCATCCTTTGTAATGTCCCAAAAGACACAGGCATAGGAATGCAGCTGGAATTGAGATTCATTGTACTGCAAATAGAATGGGGAACACAATGCAAAAGATGGCCTTTGGAAATTAGGAAATTTGAATTAGGAAGAGAGAAAATAAACCTGCTGAAATGGAGTGTATTTATAAAGGTATTTTTTTAAATCCCTTATTTTTAAGTTCATTTTATTATTTCTTATTTAAATGAACATGGAGCATGTACTACCCAGTAACATTTCACTGAAAGGAAAAGGAGAGGAGGCTTAACTCAAATCAGTTTTGTTGTTGACTAATTTGACAAGGGCTTTGGGAAGTGGGGGCAGGAAAAATCAAAAAGTAGAAATAGTTTAAATGAGTTTGAGGGATTTATCTATGGATTTTCAAAGCCACATAAGTGGTACAATGGTACTAGACTTGGTGTCAGGAAGACCTGAGTTCAAATCCAGCCTTAGACATTTGCTAGCTGTGTGATACTAGGCAAGTCACTTAACCTGCCTCAGTTCCCACATCTGTAAAATGAGGATAACAATAGCATCTACACCCCCCAGGGTTGTTGTGAAGTTCAAATAATATTTATAAAATATTAAATGATATTTTAAAATAATTTTTATAACTTCAATATGTGTGTAACCCCTGTCCCAAACCCCACTGGTCTGAGACTCATCTCACGAATGGAGATGAATTTTTTTACATTTCTTATATTTATAATTTTAAAATTTCATTATAGATTTACCTAACAGTGATAAATCATGGTTTATTCAGCCATTTCCCAACTACTGGAATTTTAAATTGCTTGAGACCCTGTGCAAGTATAAATAATTTTGCTAAAATAGCTTTGATCAGATGATAGCATAGATGTAGAGCTTGAAGGGACCCTATGGACCTTGAGTCCCGCCCCCTTATTTTACAAAGGAAGAATGGAAAAGCGACTTGCCCTGGATCGCACAGTAGCAAGTGTCTGAGGAGGGATTTGAACTCAGGTCTTACTTACTCCAGGTTCTGGGCTTTATTCGCTATGGCAAAGAGCATCTTAGCGAGGTTTGTTTTCTTTTTTGATAACACTCTCAAGTGATATTTCCAACATTAGTATTTTTGGTTCAAAGGGCATTATTTTTTTCAACTCTTGAAATATACTGCCAGATTAATCTCTATATAAAGCCTATAAATTTTCTTTATAACTCCACAAGCATTTAGTTTCGTTACTTTCAGCATTCTCTCCAACTTAATGGGCATGAAGTCATACTTCAAATTTGTTTTAGTCTTAATTTATTGAATTATTAGTGAAACAAGATTTTTCAAATAATTATTTATAATATGTATTACCCTTTTATGTGTTGTCTTTTTATATATATATCCTTGGATTATTTATCTAAAGCAGACCATGTGTTGCCTTTTAATATTTTAATTTGTTTCAGTTCCTTTAAACACGTTTTTTGCTTCAACATATGTCAGATTTAAACTGTTATATTTACCAAAACAATTTCCCCAACATGTTATTTTCTTTTTGTCTTTATTGCATTATTTCATCATACAGAATTCTTTTGTTACTTTTATGTAACTGAACCCATATAGAGTGTCTGATAACTTAATCTCTCTATTTAATAGATGGGATCTATTGTGGAGAACAGACAACTGATTTAAATACAGTATTTCATTTCCTTCAAATTTCTTATAGTTCTTTTCTATGTTTTTCTATGATACAGCTAGATTTTGTGGTCCAAGGTAGAAATCTAAATGTATTCTACATCATCTCTCTATGGAGTTTCCCATCACTTATTAAACACTGAGTCCTCTCCTTAGTTTTTCTTTTCTCAACTCTGCACTGAAAGGCAGCCTCATGTAGTACGTGGAGGGTCAGCCACGCAGTCTGGATGAATAGGCTTTATGGTCCTGTCACTGACCCATACTGGCATCATCTCAGGTGACTCTCTTAAGTCCATACATTGCTGATCTTACTGTTTTCCTCACTGATAGCTTCCTGCACCAATGAAACCACAGGACTAGACCAAAAAAAAAACCCAAAATATTTCTCTCTGCCTTTGGTTCCATTTCTATTTATCCTAATAATTTATAATTTATTTCATTTTATTATCTTATTCTATTTCTTTGTCCTCCTTCTCTGTTTCTGACTCTTCAGACTTTGCTACCATACTTCAGCTGCCATCTCATCCTGGAACTTCCTTTGACCATGGTGACCCTCTTTTCCCATTGGTGAGATCCTTCCAGGGCTTCCATTATGCACAGGCTCCTAAAGTAGGTGATACTGTCCCCTGGAGGGTGCTGGAACAAAGGGGGGGGGCGGGAGTAGCCCCGGGCACAATTGGGGGGCATTGAATAAAAATAAGGGGGTGATGGAAATATAAGGAAAGAAGACAAGATAAGAAAATTTTTAAAAATCATTCATACATGTTTCATCTATTGTATAACACAGTTAAAGTTGTAGTGATTACATTATTTTCCAAATAAACACACAAAATGCAAGTTATAACCAATCAGTGGTCAAGTCTGCCAACAGGTCTTAACAAGCAAGTGTGTCACGCATCGTCAGGAAGTCCAGCATGCATCTGTAGGAATATGTGCATGTAATGACTTGTTTACAATATGATACGGTATGGTTATGTGACACAATATTGTGTCATTAAAATTTCAATACAGGAAAAAAACTATAAATTTACAATAAAATATTAAATTTAAGATACATCATTTTTTAAAAAAAAATTTTATTTTTTGGAAATGATGCAAATTTTAAAAAAAGTTAAAGGGTTAAAAAAGTAGATTTCCAGGGGGCCCTGAGCAATTTTTTTAAAAGGGGTCAGTAAGCCAAATAAGTTTGGGAACCTCTGTATTAGAGGAAGGGGCTCAAGCCAGCCAATCCTTATTCTCCACGGGTTGTGCTGCCGACTTTATAGACTTCAACACATGCCCTTATGTGAATGAAATCCCTCTCAGCCCCTCTCTATTTTTAGCTCCTTTTTGTGTGTTGTATTTTCCTATTAGAAATAGTTCCTTGAAGGCAGGACTGTCCTTCTTTTTGCTTGTATTTGTATCACTAGCACTTAGCAAAGTGCCTGGCACACAGTGTTCAATAAACACTTATTGTCTTGCCCATTTTTTTTTTTTTGAAATATCAGATAGCTTTAATGATAGCTTTTGTTGTTGTTCAGTCATTTCAGTAATGTCTGACTCTTCCTGTCCCTTTTTGGGGTTTTCTTGGCAAACAAACCAGAGTGGTTTACCATTTCCTTCTCCAGCTCATTTTACAGATGAGGAAACTGAGGCAAACAGGATTAAGTGACTTGCCCAGGGTCACAGAGCTAGTTAGTATCTGAGGCCAGATTTGAACTCAGGAAGATGAGTCTTCCTAACTCCAGGCCCAGTGCTCTGTTTTAAGATATGAAAGAAGCCCAAATTTAATCAGTTCCCCCTCCCCCACCCAAGTATACCATTGATACTCTTGTTGAGTGTTTGTCTAAGAAATTACTTTATCCTGATCTATAAAGAAATTCATTGAGATTTGCGTTGATATACTAAACCTGTATACTAATTTAGATATTATTATCATTTTATTATTTTGATTCAAATCATCCACAAATAATGAATTTCCTTCCATGCAACCATGAGAAATGTGCTGAAAAGACTTCAATTCATGGGGTGCTTATGAAATGCTTAACCCTGGTCATTATCCCTTTCTCATCATGACTCTGGCTTAAGAAAGGTGAAAGTTGAGTTGATATTGTGTTTAGATGTCTGTCCTTTTTATTTTTTGAAGAGAAGAGCTTCAAATATAAGCAGAACAAAGCTCCTAAAGATGAACTATCATCTTCTAATTTTTATGTGAATTTCTTTTAACATATACTGCCTGAATTTTTGCCAAAAAAAAAAAGTAGATAATTGGTGAAGAAAGAATGCTTCCTTAGCGTTCCTACCTGCCTCTATCCAAATTTAAAGAAATTTCTTGCCCACATTTAAGGGCACCAATTAAAACTTAGCCTTTCTATGGAGATTACCCAGATAAAGTAGCTCGCCAATAATGCCTTCCTACCTCCCAGTCCCCTTTCCCCAAAGTATTCAGTGGCTCCCTATTCCTCCTGAGTACCATTATAATAACATTGGCATTCAAGGCCCTCTACAACTTGACCCCTTCCTACTTTTCCAGTCTTGTCCCATATTTCCCCTCTACAGGTACTTTATGTTCCTCTCGTATTTACTCCACTTCCCAATTTTCCTATTACCATTGATGCCACCATCCTACAGGTTTGGCCCTCAGTGCCATCCCTGAATTTTCACTCACATTCACCCCCTCATATTTAACCTGTTCTCAAATCCTGTTCTTTCTCCTTCTCTTCGCTCACACAGTCACCCTCCTGGCATAGGACCACACCACCTCTCATCTAAACTATTGCAACAGCCTTTAAATTAGTTTCCTAGACTTGTCTGTCTCTACTCCAATGCGTTCTCCATTCAGCTATCAACAGGGGTGAGTAGGTAAGTATTTAACAATGGGCTCTCCAGGAACAACAAAAGTACTCATGAAGTACTTTTAGGTTTAATCTTCATTATTAATATTTTCTCCATCACCTTTCATCTAGACAATCAAATAATAAACCAAGCCATGATTCAGCAATGTTTGCCAATATCTGAGGTGTAAATGCACTCTGAATATTTAACAATCAGCTCTGGTTCCTGAACACTGTTAGCTACCAAAATGATTTTCCAAAATCCTCCATCCATCCCTTTACTCAATAAACTCTAGTTGCTCCATATTACCTTCAGTATCAGATACAGTCCTCTGTTTGGCTTTTAAAGGTCTTCAGAAACTCATCCCATTATACTTCTCTAGTCTTTTTATGCTTTAGTCCCCTCTACATACTCTGAGACTGAGTTACACTGGCTCACACAGGACACCCCATCTCCTGACTCCAGACCTTTGCATTGACTGTCCCCAGTGCCTCAGATGCTTGGCCACCCACCTCCATCTCATGACTTTCCTGGGTTCCTTCAGGACTTAGCTTATATTTAATTTTCCACAGGAGACTGATCTTTCCTGGTGCCTGACCCCTGGCCTCCCTCATTAGAATGTGAGCTTCTTGGGGGCAGGGAAAATGTTTTTTGCCTTTCTTTATAACCTCAGCACTTAGCAGTGAGTAAGGACTCAGTAAAAGCTTATTGACTTATTGTCTCCCCCCACCCTCTCCCCACTGACCTCTCATGTCACCATGCTTTTGTTTATGCTCTTCCCCCCCCTTTAAATGTTGAGGGTGTCACTTTCTTCACCTTTTGAAATACTACATGTCCTTTAAGCCCTTTCAAAAGGCTAAGAAGCCTACTCTGATTTTACTAGGTACTAACTTTGCAATACCAGTAGCAGTAATGAGCAAGTAGGTGGTGTGGTGAATAGAGAGCCAGGCCTGAAGTCAAGAAGACCTGAGTTCAAATCAGGCCTCAGACACTTCCTATCTATGTGACCCTGGGCAAGTCATTTAACCCTGTTTGCCTCAGTTCCCTCATCTGTAAAATGAGCTGGAGAAGGAAATGGCAAACCACTCCAATATCTTTGCCAAGAAAATACCAAATAGTGTCATGAAGAATAGGACACGATTGAAATAACTTGAATAACAACACCAGTAGCAGCAGTAGTAGTAGTGGTGGTGGTAACTTATTTAATATTAATAATAGCTATAGAGCTTTAAGGTTTGAAAAGCAATTTATAAATATTATCCTATCTTATCTTCACAACAACCTTAGGAGTTGGGATAGGTGCTATTATTATCCCCATTTTACAAGTGAAGAATCTGAGGCACAGAGAGATTATATGACTTACCCAAGGTCACACAGTCAGTAAGTGTCTGAGGCTAGATTTGAACCCACATCCTCCTGATTCTAGGTCCAGTGCTCTCTCTCCACTGTTCTGCCTAGCTACCTAGAAGCCTGCCTGCCCACCTGCCTTCTTCTCTCCTTCCTTTTTTTTTCTTCCTTCCTCCCTCTTTCCTTCCTTTCTTTCTATTAAAGGACCTAGCTCCTTGTCTCATATTACTTAGCCTGGAAGAGAAAAGTTCCTTTGAATTTTAATTACTTGTGTTATCCCTGATTTAAATTTCAAGTGGCTGAAATTGTTATTATGATTTATAGGAAAACTCACCTTTGGTTTAAAGATCATTTCAACAGAAACATTTGGAACTTCCTCACCATCAGAAAATTTGCATGCAACAACTCTTTGACTAAAATTTGACCTAATGGTGAATGTTTTTGACTGGAAAAATTTGTTATTCTGATACAGAACAAAGCCAAATTTCCCATTGGTGCCTGTAGATAAGAAAAAATTAAAATATGCATGAGATCAATGTAGAAATGGACACAAAAGAGGGAGAAGAAATGAAAGCTGCCATAGCCTTATTTACAGACTGCTCAGAACCCTCACACCCTGTGAGGAAAGCACCTTACAAACCAAAAGTGTTACTATTAATACTATTTCAAAAAAGATTGCCAACCAGATTGTATTTAACTATCTTGACCCGATTAAAAAAAGACTAAAATAGGTCAAATTGATGAGCAGAATGTAATAAGATAAAATTTAAGAGCAGGAGTTTGTTTTGCTGAGTATACATATTTATAATAGAGGTTTTGCTTTCTTTCTCAATGAATGGGGCAGTCAGGAAGGAGAAAAGGCAAATTTCTGTTAATTAAAAAATAAATTTCAATAGAAAAAATATAAATTCACATGTGGGGTTTTTTAAAAAATCATTGTTATAAGTACAAGATGGGCAAGGTGTGGTTTGAAAGAAGTTTGCCTGAAAAAAATATCTAGGGAGGCAGCTAGGTGGCACAGTGGGTAAAGCACCAGCCCTGGAGTCAGGAGGACATGAGTTCAAATCCAAACACTAGCTGTGTGACCCTGGGCAAGTCACTTAACCCTGATTGCCTCCCCCTCCCCCCCATCCCCTGCCAACAATATCTAGGGAATTTAGTAAACTCTGACCTCAATTTGAGCCAACAGTGAGAGGCAGCATGTTGTAATGGATAGAGGTTAGGAATTCAGAAAAACTTGAGTTAAAGTCCTGCCTATGACTCTGACCAGCTGTATAACCAACCCTAAGCTAGTAACTTAAACCTGTGCCTACATTTTCTCATGTTTGAAAAGGTGGGAGTGGACTCAGTGATCTCTCAAATCTTTTCCAGCTTTCTAGGATCTAGAAGCCTGTAATTCTATGTCAATTAAAAAAAAACTGGAACAAGAAGGTGGTCGTCCCACGTATTCTGCCCAGATCAGACTATAACCAAAGTGTTGTGTTCAAACTTTGGGTATCACATTTCAGAAAGAACATAGGATAAGTTGAAGCGTAACCATATGAAGGTGAACAGAATGGTAAAAGGCCTCAAGATCATGCCAGGTGAGAACTAAAGAAACCAAGGATAAGAAAAGATTGACAGGGAAGAAAGGAGGATGGGAAAGCTGCCCCCAAATATTTGAAGAGCTGCCACATGGAACAGCAATAACAACTAGCATTTAAACACTTTAAAGTTTGCAAAGCACTTTGCAATTAGTATCTCATTTGATTCTCACAACAATCCTGGGAGGTACATACCATTATTATCTCCATTTTATAGATGAGAAAACTGAGGCTGAGATTAAGTGACTTGCCCAGAATCACACAGCGAGGAAACATCTGAGGCCACATTTGAACTCAGGTCCTTCTGATGCCAGGACTGGTGCTCTATCCACTGTGTCACCTAGCTGCCCCCCCTCCCTTTTTTCTCATTTATTTGACCTTTACTGACAATAGCTGGAGGGTTGAAACACATCCAGTGTCCCCTCCCCTTGATGCTCCGTCCAAGGGAGGCATTCCCCTCCCCCAAAGGAAGGCTGGTGGACAAGGGAGTAGGAAGGGGGTTGCTCTGGGCCAGGCTAAAGGTGTGAATGGGCGGGAGTGCTGAGGTAAGACTGCATCCTCAGACTTTGGGCTCATTCCTCTTCCCTGAAGCCTGAAATCTGCCCCACCCCACCCCACACCTTAGGGAATAGGCAGGGTCAGAGGTCAGAGCTCATGCAGTATGGTAAAGGGAGAGGGGGCCTGGCTCTGTCAGTCCCTTCCCCTCAAGCTCAAGAGTTGAGTGAGGCTGTGCTGAGGACATTGACAGGGCCACCACAGTCTTGACTATGGTTTGAACATAAATATATGCATAATTATATACAGGGGGAGGGGGCTCTCCCCTGAGCCTCAGCCTCAGTTTTAGGGAAGGGGAAGGGCAGGAGCACAGATTGCCATGTCCCTTGCCAATGAGGCAACAGCAACCAGACTTGAGGAGAGAGAGAAAAGAGAAGGGAAGAGCATTGAAGGCTGCCTGCATAAGTTTGTCCCAAGTTGACTTTGAATGGTAGGTATGACTGCATCTATGAGAGGTCAAAGATTTGGTGAGCCTTTTATTTTATTTTAAATTTATAATTTTAAGATTTATCTATAAGTATTGGCTACCCTTCTTCCTCCCCCCACCTGCTGCCCAGATTCCAGAACTCCTAACATTGTCTTCCCCCATAAGAATGTAAACTCTTGGAGGGTAGAGATTGTCTTGTTTGCTTTTAGCAGTATCCCTAACTTGTAGCATGGTGCTTGGCACATAGTAAGTGCTAAATAAATACCCTACCTCCTTCACTCACTCTCTCCCTCCTTTCCTTCTTCCCTACCTCCTTCCCTTCTTCCCTTCCTTCCTCCCCCCTTCCCTTCCTCCCTCCTTTCTGCTTTTTCTTTCTCCCTTACTACCTCCCTTCTTCTTTCTCCCTTCTTTTATTCTTTCCTTATTCCTTCTCTCTCTTCCTTCCTTTCTTCCTCCCTCCTTCCTTTCCTTCTTTTTTCTTTCCTTCATTCCTCTTTCCCTTCTTCCTCCCTCCTTCCTTTCCCTTCCTTCCTTCTTTCTTCCCTTTTTACCTTCATTCTTTCCTTTTTCCTATTTGTTATCTCTCTATCTATGTCTGTACTGGCCACCTTTTGAGATGAAGGCAGATTGGATCCCATGGCTTGAGTTCTTTATATCTTTCTTTTTCTTGTTTTGCCATACTTTTGAAAGTGTTCAAAAGTTAGCAAAATTGATGAATATCATTTCTCTGGGCTACAGGATTTTGAAAACTCTCATTTCCAAAATATTTCAGAACTTGGTCATATGCAATCACAAATTACTCAGTGGGCAAAGAAGTATTGTATCACCCTCAAGAGAAGGCTTTTTGTTCTCAACATAATTCAGGTAACTTTATTTTTTAAAAAAGGAAGAGTCAAAGACCTACTTTGTGTGGTATTGATTAGAATCTGCAGTTCTGTTTTGTCCTCTGGTTTCAGCTCCTTCTCATTTATTTCTATATATGTTTGTTGTGAATCCAGAATGTCATTAGCTCCTGTGGAAAAGGAAAATTTGACACCATCCCACCCACCCACCAAAAAAATGTTAATAAAGAGAAAATAAGTCACTGTTGTTAACAAGCATTTTGATAAATGATATTAGTGTTAGTAAGTAAAGAAAAATCACTTACCTCTTTGGACAGAAAAAAGAACAGTTACCGGCTGTGGAGTATCTTCTGTAGGTAGTGCAACAGACTGGATGGCAATGTTGGGGTAGAATAGAGACTCATTCATCAAAGACAAGGAATAATTCTCCAATTCTGTAGTGAGGCTACATTGATAGAAGAGAGACTATTCTTTAGATCTCCTCATGAAATTATATATGTGACTTTTACTCTACAGTCCATAGAAATATATTGGTGATATGCCTATTGCCTTTTTGACCAAGAAATTCCACTTCTAAGTAGATAGGTTAAGGAGGTCAAAGAAAAAAAAGGAAAGGTTTCACAAACCAGAATATTCACAGCACCACTTTCTTATGGTAGAACTAGAAAACAAAGTCAATGCCCATACATTGGGGAATAGCTGAAGAAACTGTGGTACATGAATCTATTAAGATATAATTGTACTGTGAGAAACAACAAATACGAAAAATTCAGAGAAGCGTGGAAAGATTTATGTGAACTGTTGCAGAGTAAAATGACCAGAACCAGGAAAATGACATACTCAATGACTACCACAAAGTAAGCAGAAATAATCAAATAAATAACCAAAACCACCAAAACTGAATACTGTGTAATTAGAAAGACCAAGTTTGATCCTAAAAAAGGAGATGCAAAATGCACACCCCCTCTCTTCTTTTCTGAGGTGGTACAATTGTAAGAGTGATGCCAAACCACCCCCATTTTGGCTTCGGGTGCCTTGTCTAGGTGAGAACACTTTTCTGTTGAGTCAAACAATCAGAAATGAGTGTGAACTGGGGTAGTACATCTCCTTGAATCAATCAAAGCCATTGTGTGAGAGAATAGGTCCTGCTTTAAGCAATTTATATAAAAGCAAGAAGGTGTCTCAGAAATAGGGGAGAGAAGAAATTGTGAATGATGTGTGGACCTGAAAGGGGTCTTGCAAACATGACATTTCCAACATACTTCTGAGGACCACAGGGAAGACATTAAGGAGTATCTCTGGCTGTAGAGGCATCTTGGAGTGAAAGACCTAAGTGGAGGGAAGTCCTAAGAAAAGGTCAGCTCTTTCCTCAATTCCCCCTCCTGAAGCCTGTCTGTCTATCCACAGACACTACTATAATCCCAAAATGTTGAGTAAACCGAATTTTACTTCAACCAGAAGGAGGTCAAGAATGAACTAGAGATAGATATAAATGTAAAGTTAGGCAGATAACCCCACCTCTGTCTAGTTACAAGGAATTTTCTAAACTGGGGGCTCAGAATGATTGTATATGAATTCAGAACTTTTCATCTAAAAAAACCCTCCCCAAAGCAGAAGAGGAAGGAACCAAGTGCATTTTAGGGACCACTTATTGTTCCCTAGGCTTCAAATGAGCTAATTATTATAATAGACTGTTACACTGTCAGCCATATATGATGGATTGATTGGTTTTGATAACTTGGGTTTTTTCTCTTTCTTTTTAAAGCTTTATTCTAAAGGGTGGCTTGCTGATCAGAGAATGAAAGGAATATGAAAGTGATATAAAAACAAAAGACATTAATAAAAATATTTGAAATGTTTGCTGTTGTTATTCAGTCATGTCCAACTTTTCATGACCCCATTTGGGGTTTTCTCAGCTAAGATACCATTGCCCTTTCCTTCTCCAGGTCATTTTACAGAAGAGGAAACTGAAGCAAACAGGGTTGAGTGACTTGCCCAGGGTCCCTCAGTAAGAATCTGAGGCTGGATTTAAACTCACGTCTTCCTGACTCTAGGTCTGGCACTCTATGCACTGCACCATCTAGCTGCCTCCTTTAAATGTTTACATCTAGCTTAAAAATTGAAAGACACTTGGGATAGGCTCTATTGCAGTAGAAAATTTGGAGTTAGTAGTTAGATTTGGAGACATGGGATCTGAGTTCAAATCCCACTGCTACTTACTACCTATGTAGCCTTCAACAAGTCACTTAGACAAAGCAGCAGTGTATAAGAAAAAGAATACTGAACTTAGAGGACTGAGCTTGGATTCACTGGAACTGAGTCTAAATCCTGGCCCTTGCCATTCTTTATTTGTGTGACCTTGGGCAGGTCATTTAACCTTCTAGGCCTCATTCTCCTCAACTATAAAATGAAGAGATTGTCTTAGATGGCTTCTGAGGCCCCTTCCAGATCTAACTTGATGATGTTATGCTCCTTTGGCTCATATTCTTAAGTAGCTTGTGGGATCAGAACAACAAAAAACTTCACATGACAACAGTGTGAACAAGACCACCTAAAACACACATTGGTACCATGCCAATTTGGGGCAGCCAGGTGGCTCAGTGGATATAACGCCAGGCTCAGAGTCAGGAAGATTCATCTTTATGAGTTCAAATCCAGCTTCAGATATTTATTAGCTGTGTGACCCTGGGGAAGTCACTTAACCTTGTTTGCCTCTGTTTCCTCATCCATAAAATGAGCTGTAAAAAGAAATGGCAAACCACTCCAGTATTTTTGCCAAGAAAACCCCAAATGGGATTGTGAAGAGTCAGACATGACTGAAACAACTGAACAACAATGACATCACGCAAATTTGCTTTCTTGACTGAAGTCTCACTCCAAAGTCTCACTCTAAAACAGAAGAACCTAGAGTGGGAAGGTGAGGAGAGGATAGGGTCTTCCAGGAACTAGAGTCCATGGCTCAATATGGAAAGTAGAATGAAGCTTCATTTTGGGGGTAAATAAATGGATGAAAACAGAATGTGTTATTGGGCCTCTTGAAGAGGATTTGTAGACCATATTATGGTGACTGACTAATGAGTCTCCCAAAAGAAACTTATGATGACTGTGCTGGGCTTCATAATTAAAGAAAATGATAACTCACCATCAATAGGTCCTGCACTTTGAACATTTTTTTCCTAGCAGCGGGGAAAGATTTGTGCTAATCTTCCCTTATGAGAAATGGCAAGGCTTTTAGTCAGAAAGGTTCCAAAGTGGATAGAGTCCTGGACCTGGAGGCAGGAAGACCTTACTAGCTGGGTAACTCTGGGCAAGTCATTTGACCACTGTCTCCCTCAGTTTGCTTATTTGTAAAATGGGGATAATAATAGCACTTACCTCCTATGGTTGTTGTGGGGATCAAATAAGATAATAATTGTAAAATGCTTTGCAAACCTTAATATACTATATAAATGCTAAGTATTATTGTTGTCATTATTGTACACTGAACAAAAGAATGTTAATGGAAAAATTTTGATGTTCATATTAACAGGATTAATATTGATTTAGCAATTTAATTTGGAAATACAATTATAATCAGTTGAGGTTTCTAGGTGGCACAGTGGTTAGAGTACTGAAGGAATTGGGAACTCCTGGGTTCCAATACCCTCTCAGATACTTCCTAAGCTGTATAACCCTGAGCAGATCATTTAACTTCTCTGTACCTCAGTTTTCTCATCTATAAAATGGAGATATTAATAGCACCTACCTCACAGGCTATTGTGAGGATCAAATGAAATAATATATGTAAAGTCCTTAAAGCACTATGTAAATATTAGCTATTAATATACTAATCATTTGTTATTAATGTTAATAGGTAATTGATATTATTTTATATTAGTTATTAATATTTTCAGCTTCATCAGAACATAGAACAGTTGTGCAATACTGCTAATTAAATACATCACATTTCACTTCTGCTCTGTCACTCTCCAATCAAATAGTCTCTCTGAGCCCAGAAATGTCTCTCTTATTAATAGACTGATTCTCCAAATCTGACATTAAAGAAGCAGTGCTGGACCCAAAGGGAGGAGAGAGTAGAATTTTGGATGAAGGAAAGTGATTTTGGAAATTCTGGATGACATGATGAAGGAAAAGATGAGGTGCCATCCCCCAGCACCTAGGCTTTTCCAATGCCTCCTGCTGAGCATTGTGTGGGAGACAGGGAATTTTGTGGAAGAGTTTTATATGGAAAAACAAGTTGAATAAAGGGTTTCTCATGATCTCAAATTTACCCTCTGCCTCAACCTGGTCAGTAGAATTTCTTTTTTTGTCCTTCAGTTTTGGATGGCACCCAAGGGCCGAATCATTGTATGTTCTGCCAGTGCAAGATTTTGGTTCTGCCAGTTCCAGACAAAGAATTCAACTTCATGTAGAGAATGCTGCTCTGGGCTGAGTCTGTGAGGCATCAACACAAATCAAACTCATATGGCTGAAAGGACCCCAGCCCACTCTATGGAGATTTTATCAACCCACTCCCTGTTAGAAGCATAAAGCATCCCGTACTTATCCTTTCCTAATGCCTTAATTTTTTGATACAATTTTGTGGCTCCAATCAGTGTTACCACAATTCTTGAACCTTCACAGTCAGCATTGTGTCCCTCACCTTAGTCAACCTAAGGCTAATAGTGCCATCTGCCAGTTTTATCTCCATATCAACACTTTCTCCCTGTTTTCCTGGACTCCTTCATACCCATATCCTCCGTGAGGAAGGGGGGGATAGGATTCAGAGGAAAGAGAAGAAGACCTCACATTTTTCTCCTCTTTCCCAACTTTTTCATTCAATCCTCCAAAATAGCATAGTACCTTCTAGGGGGATTTAAATGGGAATTTACCATAAAACATTGTGGTACAATAACAGATGGAAACGATAAGGTGTGTGAATATAAAGTGAATGAAGTGAAAATAAATAAAGTAGAAACGATAGTGTGACTTAAAATTTGGATACCATCTCAAAGTATAGAGATGTCACGTACTAGCTACGGACATGTATAGCTAGGTCACATACTTAAGCCAGGGACAGACTTATTAAGTGAATCTTTGCTTGGAATTGTGGATGGATTATTTGTATTTTTTTCTTAGAATTTCATTGTCTACTGAGCACTTAGTCCCTAATGTCATGCTGTATTCCATTGTGGTTTTGATTAAGGGGTCTCTGGGGTCTCTTTCAGTTCCATATCTGTGGTCATATGATTTTCTGGGTAGCCCCTATACAGAGTTATATTCTGTTATGTAGCTGGTACATACCTTGAAGCTATCTTCTAGCTATAAATCCATAATCCTATGATCCTATATATTAAGGATGAATAAAACCTATTAAAGAATATAGAAGAAATAGAGGAAGGAGCATGCCTTTTCACACTGGCCTAGGGATTTTTGCAAGTGCTAAACACAGCTAATGTGAGGTCAGTACAGGGGCCTGAAGCTTCAGATGGGGGAGTTGGGGGGAGGGGAATACCTTGCAGACTAACCAATCATCACTGCAGTGAATGATTTGGATAGGAGGTAGCATAACATAGTGAAAAGAACACTAGATCTAGAATCAAAGGACCTGAGTTCAAACCCCACCTCTGATATTGACTACATGTGTGACCTTGGATAAGCCACCTGGGGGGACTTCAATTTCCACATCTGTAAAATACAGTATTTGGATAAGATTGCTTCTGAGGTCTGTTCCAGATCTAGATCTGTGATGCTGCTGTCATGGCAACAAAGTGGGGAATAAAAAGGGGATGGAGTCACTCATCTCCAGTCTTTGGTCCTTCCAGTTGTACAAGTCTAGTAGAGCTTGCAAGGTCAGAACTAGAATCAGTTTACATAATCTCTAGACCGCCAGAGTTACAAGGACAATGTTTGCCTCTATAAGCATATAGGTTTGCTCCTCTGGGACCACAAAGCCAATTGTACGTGATAGAAAACCAATTGGAAACCAAGGCTTTCAATCTATAGTTCACTACTCCAACCAATTTCATGAATCTATGGGAGAAATAAAGCAATTTTTGTTAATGTTTTAATATTGATAATAAACAAATAAATACATGAATTAATAAAGAATGAATGAATGAATTGTGCACCATTGTTTTATTTCTAAATTGCAACTATGCTTACCTTCCAAAGCTGCCAGCAGCTTGGAAAACATCTTCTTTGGCATCTAGAAGTTGGCTTACTGTGGCTACTGCAATTTTCTTTGCCTGATAAAGAGAAAGGACCAAAAGTTCATAGAATCAATTGATCATTCAACGAACATTAGAGAGACTAAGAAACTTCTTTCTAAATGTATATGAGAAGACAGGTGTAAATACAGAAATCTGGTAGAAGTAACAGTAAAGAAGCAGAGAGGGGCATTATGGACAGAACCTGGCACCACTCTGCTCACAGGTGAATCAATGCTTTTTTGTGGGGTAACATCACAATGTGGGAGGGTACACAAAAGGGGGAGAGGGGAATATGTGATATGCCATGGTTAAATCAAGGACTAGTATTGAGGGGAAGGTGACCCCTGTGGTCTAAGAAAGAGAAGGGCCTATAAGGGCAGAAGTGAAGAGCAAGGATTAAGAAAAGGTAAGAAAGTTCCTTGCTTTGAAGGTGGAAGGGGATTTAATTGATTAACTCTCCTATGAGTGAAGAGAAATGGTCCATGAAGGGAGGTGGAGACTTTGCACTGGGTGTGGCCTGGAAGATTTGGTGCTTGAAATACTTATTCCTTCTACCTCAGAAGAGAGCTATTTGGAATTCCTGGGGGCAACTGGTACCTGGGGAAGTGGGAGACAATGAACCCAAGGAGGAGATTTTGAGGCAAAATGGGGGAATAAAAGTAACCAGGTGAGGGTACAGATGACTGGTGGGCTACATAATCAGGGATGTGGTGGGAGAGGGCTCCTACCATGAGCAGTGTCCTCTCTGACACCTGCAATAATTGGTGATGTTCTGGGAGTGAAGTGCAATGGAAAAGAGGAATCTATTGCTCTGTAAGGCAGTGGCAGAAACTGCCTGGAAGGGAAAACCAAGAATTGATCTCTTAGAAGCTTTAAGTGCATGAGGAATCCAGAGGAAAAAAAGAGACCAGATAATTATAAGGGTCATCAATCAGAGAATGAGGGTCTAGAGTAGACAGAGAGGATAGATAATGAAAATAATGAGACAAATCCTTTGTGGAAAGAGGAGCAAAAAAAATGAAATTTTAAAAATTAATAAGCAGAACTAATTGAAGGGAAGAAGAGGAAAGGGGAATCTACTTAACTGAGAAGAAAAAAGAAAAGCAGATATTATATGACCAGATTAAAAAAAGAAAAAAAAAAGAAACTAATAAGCAAAAGTCCAAAGGAAAAGGGTCAACAAATGAAAGGAGAGGATCAGAGGTGAGGGAAAGAAAGTCAATGGGAACAGGACCACCTTAAGAAAGATTAATGAAAAGTAACTGAAGGAACATAATACTGTGTTTACAGCAGAAGAGGAAAAAAATCATAACTTGAAAAAAATTATTAGAGACAGATGGAAGAAAACATTAATGTAAACCTCATAACTTTAGAAGTAAACACACATTGCACATGTATTGATCAGTTGTGCTGATGTTTTTTCCTCTAAAAAATACTGTTTGTTATGTGGGATGGTTCTCTGGAAAGGGAAAAGATATTTAGGATAATTATGATGATGTAAGAAATAGAAGATATCAGTAAAAATGTATTTAAAATAATTACATAGTTCAATAAGCATTTATTAATTACCTACTGTGTGCTAGACAATGGGAACTTCTTGTTGTTCAGTCATGTCCTGACTCTTCATGACCTTATTTGAGCTTTACATGGCAAAGATACTGGAGTGGTTCACCATTTCCTTCTCCAGCTCATTTTACAAATGAGGAAACTGAGGCAAACAGGATTAAGTGACTTGCCCAGGGTCATATAGCTAATAAGTGTCTGAGGCCAGATTTGAACTCAGGAAGATGAGTTTTCTTGACTTCAGACCTGATGCCACCTAGCTGCCATTAGACAATGAGGCCACAAAGCCCAAATTCAATGAAACAGACTCTGTCCTCAAGGAACTTACAATCTCTTTGTTTTTTAAATTAAATTTCATTTTATTTTTATGAAGTTCCTTCTCTCTATTCTACTCCTCTCATTGAAAAATCAAAAAAAAAATCGTTACAACATGTATAGTCAAGCAAAACAAATTTTCATATTAGCCACATCCAAAATATATATTTCTTAATCTGCAGTGAGTCCCTCATGTCTCTGTCAACTGGTCAGTAGCAGCTTATAGTATCTTCAGAGAATTTATAAGTAAGTTCTGGAAGGGGGAGGGGAGGTGGTGATTTAAGGATACACATACATACCTTCATATATACAAACATAGATATATATGCTTTTCATCAACTATCATCTAACTATGCTATACTGTACAGAGGCAACTCTGTCTCACAGTGAATAGAGAGCTAGACCTGGAATCAGCAAGACATGAGTTCAACTCCAGTCTCAGACGCTTACTAGCTATGTGACCCTGAGCAAGTCGCTTAAACTCCCTCTGCCTCAGTTTCCTCATCTATAAAGTGGACATAATAATAGCACTTAATTCCCAGAGTTGTTTTGAGGATCAAATGAGATAATATTTGTAAAGCATTTTGCAAACCTTAAAGTACTATGTAAAAGATAGTTTTATATATACATATATATATATAATATACACATATACTATGTATAAATACATGAAGTCTAGTGGCTTTTTAGCACCTCTATGTCAAATAAAAACCTTACTTTCCTAGTTTTCTAGCACCTTACATCCCTATCCCACCCCCACATATTCTGCCATCCAGTGACATTAGCCTCCTTGCTGTTCCTTGAATGAGACATTCCACCTCCCGAATCTGGCATTTTCATTCACCTGTGTCTAGTTTACCCCCTCTCTCCTGACTTCCCAGGCTCCTTTCAGTTCCAGATTAAATCTCAGCCTCTATAGGAAACATTTTCAGATCCACCTTATTTCCAGGGTCTTGCCTTTGTTGATTATTTCCTGTTTGTCCTGTATATATCCTCTTTTTACATAGTTGATGGTGTGGTGTCCCCCCTATAAGATTGTAAGCTTCTCAAGACTGGAAACTGTCTTTTGCCTTTCTTTGTACCTCAGCACTTAATACAGTGTCTGGCGCATAGTAAGTACTTAACAAATATTTATTGACTGACTGACTATCTGTATACACACAAACTCACATAATAGTAATTAGGAGAAAGCAGCTTTACAAGGCCAAGAGTGCTAATACCTGGGGGAATCAGAAAGGGTTTCCAGAGGCCAAGGGACAGAGGACTGCTGTTAAGTACTCGAATAGAGATGATGGTACCTGGGCAATGTATTTGATGCTCTATTTTGATAGCTAAGGCAAAGGGGAGAATATGTGGGTTGGGTCACATATTTAGCAAAATAAAAACACATTTTCAGTGACATAAACCTTCCCCAGTCATAGATCATGGAACAAGATGTCTGTTCTATTTCTGCTTGCAGTACCTCAGGTACTGCATTCCTGGATGTGTTAAAAATCTGTTGCACCACAGTGGTAGCAAATGAGATGTCCTGAGCAGTCAGCATGTTTGCGTCGGAGGTTAAAAGCAGGGTTTCAGAAGAAATCTCCAAAGAATTTTCTGTAATATTTTCCACCTGTTTAAAACAAAATGAAACAAAAATTTTCCCTATTTCACACAGTTATGTATATATAGCACACAATCTTTTGAAGAATAGGTTTGCTTGAGGCTGCTTTTTACCACCAAATACTCCAGTATTCCTCACTGTTCTAATCAATCGATCAATCTCAGTAAGTGCCTACTATGTGCCAGGCACAAACAAGACATGCCATCTCTTGGCTCCTGGAATTTTCTCTGACTCTCCCCCATGCCTGGAATGTTCTCCCTCCTCATCTCCATCTACTGGCTTCCTTTGGCTTTCTTTAAATTCTAGATAAAATCCCATTTTCTACAGGAAGCCTTTCCCAACCCCTCTTTATTCTAATATCTTCCCTCTCAATTATTTTCCATTTTTCTTATCTGTGTAGCTTGTTTGGATGTATTTGTTTATTTGCTGTCTCCTTCCGTTAGATTGTGAACTCCTTGAAGCCAGGACTATCTTTTGCCTCTTTTTGTATCCCCAGTGCACAGTGCCTGGCACATGTTGCTGTTGCTCAGTCCTTTTTCAGTTGTGTCCAAATGATGATCCCATTCAGGGTTTTCTTGACAGAAATACTGGAATGGTTTGCCATTCCCTTCTCTGGCTCATTTTACAGATGAAGAAACTGAGGCAAACAGGATTAAGTGACCTGCCTAGGGTCACAGAGCTAGGAAGTATCTGAGACCAGATTTGAACTCAGGTCCTCCTAACACCAGGCCTGGCGCTGTATCCACTTGTGCCACCTGGCTGCTTCATCTGATACACAGCAGGTGTTTAATGCATGTTTATTGATTGATTGATTGGTCCTAGGATCATGGATTTTTAAACTGGAAAAGACCTTAAGGATTATCTAGTTCAATCCATTCATTACAGATAAGGAAACTGAGGCCCAGATAGGTTAAGTAGTGAAGATTGTGCAAGATTACACAGGTGATAAGTGATAGAGCTGGGATTTAAACCCACTATCCTCTTCAAATCCAGCAATCTTTTTATAATACTATGCTGCCTCCCAAAGGTTAAAGTTGGCAAAACACACACAAATTAGAAACTTTTCCCAACGTTTTGGGACTTTTCAAAAATAGGATAGTTCTGGAAGTTGGGAAGTTGGACTAGAAGACCTTTGAAAACTCCCTTCAGCTCTGTAATGCAGTCTGCAGATAAAAGGACGTCAATAAAATAGATTATTTAATGAAGTTGAATGTAAGCATCCATGTTCTTTAATTCCAGCTAGATGGCAGCACAGTTTCAAAAAACAAGGCCGAATCCAGCCTCCGACACTCAACATTTGCTTGCTAGCTATGTGACCCTGGGCAAGTCATTTAACCCTGATTGCCTCACCAAAAGGCAAAGGAAAAAAAAAAGAATATAAGCTCCTTGAGAGCAGGCACTGTCTTTCCTTCTGCTTGTATTTATATTCCCTTCACTTAGTACAGTGCCTAGCAAGTGCTTAATGAATGCTTGACTGCAAGTTTGACTTAAAGGTGTCAGTGACTCCAAGTCTTAGAATTTAGGAATTATGACTACCAGTTCTACCTCTGAGCTCAAAATTTGTGATTATCTAGATTCTTGATCTTAGGGATCATGATATAATAGAAAGAATGCTAGATCTGGGTCCTGAGTTTGAATTCTATCCCTAAGACTTACTACTTTTGAGATCTTAAGGAAGTTACTCTCTGGGTCTCAGTTTCCGTAATTATAAAATTAACTGATTGGACTAGACCAGGGGTGGAGAACCTTGGATGTGGCCTTTTGACTGAGTCTAAGTTTTACAGAACAAATCCTTTAATTAAGGAGATTTGTTCTGTGAAGTTTGGATTCAGTCAAAGAGTCACACTTGAGGACCTAGAGAGCCACATGTGGCCTCCAGGCCGCAGGTTCCCTACCACTGGACTAGATAGTCTTAAGGTCGTTCCAGCACTAAATCGATGGTCTGGATCAATCTCTTCATTTTCAAAGATGGAAAAACAAAGGCAAAGCAAGTTTCACATGGTCACACAGCTAACCAATGACAGAACTGAGACAGGAATCTGGGTCTTATAACCTAAAGTTACATGCTCTTTCTTCTGAGGCAGAGTTTCAATACCTCCAGCATGTGTGTATTTTATAGGAAGACACAGGTAAATTGGGTATTGTCTAATCCAAAGGAATGCATCTGGATGGAGGATATGCTTTTAGTCACAGAGGCCATTCTGCATTACACATATCTTCCCTTCACCCCCATTTCCCAGTGGAACAGACTACTGAGTTAGGAGGTGGTGATTTTCCCAATCCTAGGAAAGACTGCAGGGCTGCTTTTATTGTGGGTAGTACAAGGCTTCCTATTCAAGTAGGAGTCATACTAGATAACACATGAGATTCTAGGATTCTTATCACAAGGGCAACCTTTGGGGTTAGCTGGAATCTATCCATCTTGGGTCTCTCAGCACAGTGCTTCAATGTCCATTGGGAATCTGTAGGGTGCTAACAGATTGTGGAGAGCTTTGGATGCCAAGCAAACGATTCTGAACTTCATTCAATGGGCAATAATGGGCCATTGTGGGGTTTTGAGCAGGTAAGTGGTATGCCCAATTTATGAAAATCTGACCACTATATGAAGGGGAGTCTTGGAAAGCATAGAGGTATGTAGACCTTTTTGGAGGTCTCTAATTGCCCATATTGGGGCAGCTAAATGGAGTAGTGGATAGACTGCCAGGCCTGGAGTTAGAAAGACTCATTTTCCTGAGTACAAATCCAGCCTCAGATACTTCCTAGTTTTGTGACCTTGGACAAGTCGATTGCCTCAGTTTCCCTATCTGTAAAATGAGCTGGAGAAGGAAATGGTAAACCACTCCAGCATCTTTGCCAAAAAACAAAAACAAAAACAAACAAACCTGAATGAAGTCTCAAAGAATCAGATTTGCCTAAAAATGACTGAACAACAACAATTGCCCATGTGGATTTTATTGCAGTGGCAGAACAAACAGATAAAGGGAAAAAATTCAAGCAATATTATGGAGATAGACTCAGTAGAGCTTGGTAACTGACTGCATGGGAAAAATAAAGGAGAGGGATGAGCCAAAAACAATAACAAGATTTTGAACATAGGAGGCTCATTGAATGACAGGTGTAATGAAGTAAGAAGGAAGAATAAATTTAGGGGAAGGACTAAGCTCAGCTTTAAACATATTGAATTTAAGGTGGTCGGCCTCCGGGGAGAAATGTTCCATAAGGCAGGCAAAGAGGTGGGTCTGTATGTAGCTCAGGAGTCAAGTCAAAGCTGAGATGATGGAATTTGGAGTAATTTACAGAGTTAAGAGTTGAAACTAATAGCAAGTCATTTAATGCCTCAGAGATCCAGGCAAATCACTAAAACGATAAGGTACAAATAAGTTGCTGATCGATACTGGTGAATGATATCTGGCGGTTCCCTACACCAAATGTATCAAACTCCTAGACTGTCTCATGGGCTCAACCAAATTAAAATGTAATTGGGAAATGTATAACAAAATAAATAAAAATACAATACAACATAGTGAGACAAATGGAAACCCTGAGAGACAGAGTTCTGGATAATTAATAATTTATTACTTAGGCTACCTGGCAATCAATAAATTGATGGTCAGTGGTTTCTCTTGGTAACCAAAGATGCCAAGGGAGACTCTGCAATGTCTTAAATCCCTTCTGAAAGGGAACTTCCCTGACAAGTGAAACTCAACCCTGATTGGTGCACATTTAATGAGGAGGTGGGCTAAAATCTTCAGCTTCTCCTGCTGAGAATGTGGCTTGATCATGAGACTTAGCAGCCTCCAGTGATATATGGGCAAGGGAAGCCATTTCAATCTGGACTTCTCTGGCTAGTTTTCCCCTTTATAAGCTGGGTCACCCTAAATTCTGATGGAGGGGATCGAGGACAGAGGTTTCTTTCCCCAGGCAAAGGCTTCCCCAGACTGGTGTATACTCTATACTCTACACTCTAAACAGAAATTAAGTTTCCCAGTTGGATGAGGTCCTGCCCAATTTAGCTAATGCCCAACCTAGCATGTGCCTTGAGGGCAAGGAGCAATCTTATCACTCAGCCATGCCCTTTGGAGATTAACTGACCTTTTCAGGAGTTGGGCCTTAATGGAAATTTTTAAGAAGGATGGTTCACAAATTAATAACTAGTTGTTAATATAGTAGTATATCAATTTCTCTCTATAGATAATGTTAATTTGTGGTTTTTTAAGTCAATATGCAAACCACACCAGTGAAATCAAAGGTCTGTCTTCTTCTCCCCCCCAAAAAAACAATTTAAAAAATATAGCTGAAGCCATGGGAGTGAGTGAGATGATACAAGGAAGAGGGTTGAGGGCAGAGTCTTGGGCAACACCAGAAAGAGAATCTTAAGGGATGGGAAAGAGAATGAAAAGAAGTAGTTGGAGCAGTAGGAAAAAAAAACAAAAGAATGTGGGTTCATGGTAGCCAGGAAGCAGCAATCAATTGTGTCAAATGTTGCATAGAGTCAAGAAGAACGAAGAGAATGAAAAGAAAGGCTACTGGATTTAGCAATCATCTACAGGTCATTGGTGACCAGTAAAAGAGCAGTTTCTGTAGAGTGATGGAGATGGAAACCACATTGCAAAGGGTTGAGGAAATAGTAGATGGCAAAGAAGTATCGTTCTTCAATGGGAACACTGTTTTCAGGTAGTTGGAAGGAAGGAAGGGAGGGAGAAAGGAAGGAAGAGAGGAAACAAGCATTTCTACAGCACCTACTATGTGCCAGGCACTGTGCTAAGGACTTTACATAAGGCAATCTGAGACTCCAGGCCCAGCTCTTCATCTCCTGCTTCAAGAATGATATGCATGGAAAGGAGGAAAGGACAGCTTGGTCTAGGTTCTGAAGAAGGTTGGAAGTTATGGGATCAAAGTCAGTGGGAGGGCTTTTAAGGAGCTGGAAGGGACTCCAACCCCAACTCCAATGCAATGTTCTGAGGTCAAGTTCAGTGTTCTTTCTGCTAAACCATTTTATTTCTATCACCAGGCAGAAGATGAGCAAGTATTGATTTTACCAAGCACTAGCTCTGCTAAGGGGACTAGATGCCACTGCCTTAAGGAATGGCCGGGCCTAGGACTGGTAACCTATGCCACAGTGCCAAGGAGGTCGCTAATTGTAGCCCATCACTCCCCAATTCTTTTCCTTTCAACTCTCCTTATTCTTTCTTTCTTTGTCTCCCCCCATTTTTCCTTCTACCCCATTAATGTTTGATTCTGGTTAAATAGACTACTGGTTTCTGATTGGGAGTGGGGAAAGGGTGACATGAAAGCTCCTTGGAGGCAAAAGTTATGTTTTATTTATTTATCACAGTGCCTTACACATTGCAATAGAGTCTTGGGCTTGGAGTTAGATGAGAGTTTAAATTCTGTTTCAGACACTTACTAGCTGTGGGACTCTGGGCAAGTCACAACCTCTCAGCTTCAGATTCCTCAACTGTAAGATGGAGATAACAATAGCACCTACCTCCCAGGACTGTTGTGAGGATCCAACGAGATAATATTTGTTAAGTGCTTTATAAACCTTAAAGGACCATATGTTGTTGTTATTAAGTGGTTGTTTTTTTAATTTGTTTTAATTTTTTTTTTATTTTGGGCAATTGGAGTTAAGTGACTTGCCCAGGGTCACACAGCTATTAAGTGTCAAATGTTTGGTCTGAGCTCAGATTTCAACTCAGGTCCTCCTGACTTCAAGGCTGGTGCTCTACCTACTGCACCACCTAGCTGCCCCTAAGTTGTTGTTAAGTTGTTTTTCAGTTGTGTCCAACTCTCCATGACCCCATTCGAGGTTTTCTTATCAAAGATTGTCATTTCCTTCTCCAGTTCATTTTACAGATGAGGAAACTGAGGCAAACAGGTTTAAGTAACTTGTCCGGGGTCAAACAGCTAGGAAGTATCAGTGGCCAGGTTTGATGGGTCTTCCTGACTTCAGGTTCAGCATTCTATCCACTGTACCACCTAACTGACCTTAAAGTGCCATATAAATACTAGCTATTATTATTATTTAGTATGAAAAAAGAAGATAAATTCTTGGAAATGATGATGGCCTATTCAGGGGTGGGGAATCTGTGGCCTTGAGGCCACATGAAGCCCTCTAGGTCCTCAGGTGTAGCCCTTTGATTGAATCCAAACTTCACAGAACAAATTCTCTTAATAAAAGGATTTGTTCTGTAAGACTCGGACTCTGTCAAAAGGTCGCACCCAAGGGCCTAGAAGGCCACATGTGGCCTCGAGGCTGCAGGTTCCCTACCCCTGGATGATGAAATGGTATCAGAGATTCAAAGCAAGCAGATATGCAAAGGAAGAAGAAAAAAAGAATGAATGGTGCAGGAAATGATGTATTTAGACCCATGGTTAGTATGATTCAGTTGAGTTTGATTCCATAGGGGCAGTGATTATTATTCTTGTACTTGTCTACTGATAATAGTTAGTCAATCTAGTGAATCCACTTGCTTAACCAATGCCTGCTGAGTAAATGAATGACCAAGCCCAGTGTGGTGGAGGTGACTCAATGGCATGAAAGTCCCCTGGCTATTTTTTATTGTACCTTCACCCTTGTTATCCCTCTGTTAGAGAAATGACCCTATGGCACTTGGCCAACAGGTCCAATGAGTACTTGACCAATGGATGACCTTATCTTCACATTGCAGGAGCTGCCTTCGAATCTATCCCCCAATTTATTGCCAACATGGGGCCACAAAAGATCATCAACTCTGCCCATATTTGGATATGCTCTACCAGGTCATTTATCACAAGCATGAATTGAAGATTCTCCTGGAAGGTCAAGCTATAGGTCTATCAATCAATGCAACTGTGTTTTGCTTTGCCTCTTCTATATCATCTGGGTGGCAAACACTATAAAACTAAGATTTTAAGGAAAGGGAGCATTTCAGATCATGAGGAAGATCTGAGGTCCACTTCATTAGAGGGGGCCATAGACCCTTTAATTAAGTGCTATTGGTGCAGAGCTCTGCCTCAATTTCTTTTATTGTGGACTGGATAATTTTGGACCCCACAATGGACTGCCCAAGTCCTCTGCTGGCACTCATGAAATAGAACAATATTTAAAGGAAGATTCCTCCATGTTTGGTGGACCTTCCCCCTACTCCCATCATATAAAAGAAGTAAGACAACAGTAGCAGAGGACAAGGAAGCACAAGCAAGTTGGGATTTCTGCTGATGGAGGGAATACCCATACAAACCAGTCAATCAGGTCATCAAACTATTAAAATATAAGGGTTATAGAGCACTGGAATTAAGTACTGAGTACAGGAGTAGAATACCCTCTAATCCTGAACATCTTTGAAAATGATATTGTGCTAGGATTGGTATCTACTAAGGTTCCCCCACTCCCTCTACAACATGAATTAGGCTAATTTTTCCTCTAAAAAGTGGCACAGCCTAGACTTGATTTACTCATGAGGTACAGAAGGTTCAAGGCATGCCTCCCTTGATGCAGCTTCCTAGAAGCCTCTGGATATATTGACATGACTTCCTAGTCACCTAAGAGGGGCAGCTATGTGGCGCAGTGGCCTGAGTCAAGAAGACCTGAGTTCAAATCTGGCCCCAGACATTTTCTAGCTGTGTGACCCTGGGGGCAAGTCACTTAACTCTGTTTACCTCAGTTTCCTCATCTGTAAAATGAACTAGAGAAGGAAGTGGCAAGGACTGTATTTTTTTTGCTTGCATTTATAATCCTAATGTGAGCACAATGTCTGGTATACAGTAAGCACTTAATAAATACTTGTTTCCTACCTGCCTTCCAATGCCAACATCAAATCTGAACTAAGAGTGTCAGCCTGACTCAAGCTTACCCTTAATAGATATATGTGATGGAAGTAGGAGGTTAGATTTGGTGGCCTCCAAGTTCCTGCCAACTCTCTGCTTCTACAATTCTATCATTTTTAGACACCTTCATTGTAACATGTCATTTTCACTTATGATAAAGGGTGTGTTATTGTGGAGGATGTGTAGTCCTACAACATTTAAATGGGCCTCTGTTAAATCTTCATGAAAGAAAACAAAAAGCGTCCCTTCCAAAGGTCCTTCTCTGGAACTAAGTTCAGTGATGGAGTGACCCAACTTTACTTGTCCTCATTGTGAGCCTGGGGTAACTATCTTCCAAGGTACCCATTAGATATGGTATAAGATGTACCTGAGCCGCCAGACTCTCCAGGGTTTGATCACAGTTCACTTTTGAAGCATTTTCTAAGATTATGTCACCATAAACAGTCATGTTGCAAAACCGAGTTGCCTTTGGGAAGCCCGCTTTAATGAAAAGAAAAATAATACAATTAGTCCCCTATTAAAATCCTACACTGATCCCTTATCCAGGTTGGAAGATGACCATGGATTCTTGAAATTTTTGCTGCAGAGCACAAATTTTGATAGGGTACACTAAGAAAGAAACTCTTGTCATCTGAGGGCCAGCCTAGATTCCTTCCTTCCTTCCTTCTTTTCTTCCTTCCTTCCTCCCTCCCTTCCTTCCTCCCTTCCTTCTTGCTTGACTTCTCTCTTCCTTTTCATCTTCCTCTTTCCTTCCTTCCCTCCTTCCTTCTCTTTTTGCCTTCTTTCTTATCTTCCCTCTTTCTTTTCTTCTCTTTTTTCCTTCCTTCCTTTCACTTTCTCTTTCTTCATCTTCTTTCTCTTTCTTTTACTTCTTCTTCTCCTTCTCTCTCTCTCTCTCTCTCTCTCTCTGTCTCTCTCTCATCTCCCCATCTTGCCCAGGCCAAAGGTACAAAAGCTACTCATGGGCTCAATCCCTCTACTGATCAACACAGGAGTTTTGACACGTTCCATCTCCAATGTGGGCCAATTTGCCTCTTCTTAGGCAAACTTGACCCCTCTGCCCCAGGGGGGTACCATATTAATGCCTCAAAGCACGGAAACCTGATCAGCATAGCCCACAACAGCTCAGAATTCCTTGAGCTCAGGAGATCTGCCAGCCCTAGCTTTCCCGTTAGCTGACACAACAGGCATGTGCCACCACATTCAGTCATCCTAGTTAATTTCAAAGAGGATTGGCACCAAAAGGTTGGCCACCAGGAGATGATTTATTTTACAGAGGCTGCAGTAAATTCTGTAGGGCCCAATTGGGCCCACCAATGCCAAGTGACTCCTTTATTCTCAAAGTTCTCTGGGTAAAAACAATTGCTTCTTTCTTGGAAGATCATAGGATGACAGATTTAGAGATGGAAGGGACCTTCCAAGGCATCTAGTCTGACTCCTTCAATTTACATTTGAGGAAACAGAAGCCTAGAGATGTCCCAGACCACACAGGCATTAATTAGCAGATCCAGCATTTGAACCCAGGTTCTGTTATTCCAAATCCAGCCATCTTGGCATTGCCCCTCCATGTAAAACCACAGACATTAATAACTTACACCAGTTAATTGCGAGTGTCTAGTTATTAGTACACTAGTATCTAAACCCCCTGGATGTTTTAACTCCCTCAGCCCCAAGAACTTCATCAATCACCCTTGAAGGCTCTTGGATGTCAAGCATCCTGCTAGGCTTTCAGGCAGCATTGCTCCCTTCTATAAAAACTCCAGCCCTTAGGAGTTAGGTGGGCTTTCCACGCTGCTGAGTCCCAGGATGCTGCTGTTGCTAACTGAAGAGAATGAGCTTGGAGGAGGCACGTCCTGAGGACAATGACACTGATAATGACAGCTTGGTGTCACAGCGGATAGAGCACTGGGCCTGGAGTCAAGAAGTCCTGAGTTCAAATCTGGCCTCAGACACTTACTACCTGTATGACCCAAGACAAGTCACTTAACCTCTGTTTGCCTCAATTTCCTCAACTATAAAATGGAGATGATAATCACACCTACCTCCCAGGGCTGTTGTGAGGATCAAATGAGAAAATATTTATGAAGCATGTAGCACAGTGCCTGGCACAGGGTAGGTGCTATATAAATGTTAAGATACCAGGACCCACAGACCTGTATCACTTGCAGCTCTAACCTAGAAAGGAGGTCAGAAAGACCAATTAGAAAGCTATTTCAATAATCTAATTGAGAGGTGATGAAGGCATGAACTTAGATTATCAAGAGAGGTTTCTAATTGGTCTTCCTGACCTCCTGTCTCTCCTCACTCCAGTCTATCCTACACACTGTTGCCAAAATGAGTTTCCTCAAGCACAGATCTAACCATTTGCCTCCTTTAATCAATCAATTGCAGTGGCTTCCTATTGCCCCAAGGATCAAATATGTTTTTTTTTCTAAAATCACTAAGTTCATCATTTCTCATAGCACAGTAGTATTCCATCACAATCATATACCATAACTTGTTCAGCCATTTCCCAATTGATGGGCATCCCTGCAATTTCCAGTTCTTTGCTACCACACAGAGAGCTGCTATAAACATTTTAGAACATATAAGTTCTCTTCATTTTTCCCTAATTATCTTCAGAAATAGGCCAAGTAGTAGTATTGCTGGATCAAATAGAATAGGTAGTTTAATAACTCTCTGGGTATAATTCCATATTGCTCTCCAAAATGGTTGGATCAGTTTACAATTTTACCAACAATGAATCAGTGTCCCAATTTTTCCCTATCCTCTCCAACATTTGTCACTTTCCCCTTCTATCATTTTAGCCAATCTGGTAGATATAAAATGACATCTCAAGATTGTTTTAATTTTCATTTCTGTAATCAATAATGATTTAGACCATTTTATATGACTATAAATTGTTTTGATTTCTTCATTGGAAAGCTGCCTGTTCATGTCCTTTGACCATCTATCAATTGGGGAATGACTTGCATTCTTATAGATTTGACAAAGTTCTTTATATATTAGAGGTATGAGGCCTTTATCTGAGAATCTGTCTACAAAATTTTTTCCCAATTTTCTACACTGCTTCTGATCTTGGTTACATTTGTTTTATTCGTACAAAACCTTTTTAATTAAAAAATTTGTTCTTAATGAATTATTTCATAGACTGTTGTATCTTTGCTAGAACTTCATTTAGTATATTTGCATCAACATTCCTAAGTGATTTTGTTTTGTAGTTTTCTTTCTTTGCTTTGTCCATTCTAGGTTTGGGCAACAGTACCATATTTGTCTTACTGAAAGAATTTTGTGATAACATTTATTCTCTCTTTTGAAAAACAATTCATGTAAAATGGTGACTGTATAATAGAATTACTTATAAATCTGGTCCTGAAGCTTTAAAAACAAAAAAGTTCATTTATGGTCTACTCGATTTATTTTTCCTGAAGTTTGTTACTTTAGGTTATTCATCTCTTATTTTATTAAATTGGGTATTTTATATTCTTGTAGTTATTCATCCATTTCATTTGAGTTTTCAATTTTGCTAACATATGATTGGGCATAGTAACTTCTGTTAATTATCTATTCATTAATAACCTATTCATTAGGTTAATTACCTAATTCATTCAGTTAATGAATAATTCATTCATTATTAATTTTCTCTCTATTCATTATTAATTTTCCCTTTTCTCTTTTTTATTTTGGTGATTTGATTCTCTCTCACTGTATATCTCTCCCAATTGAGTAAATTAGCTAATAATTAATTTTTTTGGTTTTCAAAACCTAGCTCTTTGTTTTATTAGTTCAAATGATAATGTTTACAACATGTAAACAAGGAGCCATCAATCATTTCAAGCATTAGAGTCTTCTTTGCCTTGTTAAAAGGAAGTCAAAAGCATTGCCCAACTTGGAGGACAAGAATAGGAGTTCCTGGGGCAGCTAGGTGGCGCAGTGGATAGAGTTCTGGCCTTGGAGTCAGGAGGACCTGAGTTCAAATCCAGTCTCAGACACATGACACTTACTAGCTGTGTGACCCTGGGCAAGTCACTTAACCCTGATTGCCTCACCAAAAACAAAAAAAAAAAAAGGAGTTCCTGATAGCAGTGAAGAACCATTACTTTGGTTCAAGTTTTCTTTCATTTGGGTTAGTTTCTTGTTTAAAAATTTATTCTGATCTTCATCTTACCTTTTCCAAGTTTTTGCATTCTAACTGGGCCATTCTATTCCTCAGATATCCCACTGTTAAAGTGAGATTTTCCATTGAATCTCCCAAGTTGTCAGGTCTCCTTCTTTGTCTTTTTCGTGTTCTTTTTTCTATGTTGTTAGGTCCATGTATAGAAATACCAGATCTTTTTTATGTCTTTTGTTGAGTTGGGTTTTTTTTTTAACTGCTTTGATGTCCTTCACAGTTGGTTCATCCTCTTCTAGAGGAAGGTCTGGCTGTTATCATCTTACTCTTTCCTTTGGAGATTTATTTTGATTTTCTTTTAATCCATAGTAGGTTTAGATTAAACTGGGGATTCTTTTTTTTTCTTACTCCTTTATTAATCTTTCTAACAACATTTTGGTGAGATTTTCCCTGAAATGAAATGATTGTTTCTCTCTCTCTCTCTGTCTCTCTCTCTGTCTCTCTCTCTGTCTCTCTCTCTCTCTGTCTCTCTCTCTCTCTGTCTCTCTCTGTCATTTACTTATCTGATGAACTAATTGCTGTTTTGAGGTGATGATAAGGAACTTAGACAATACACCCATCATTGCAAAGATTATTTTGGCAGTTGGATGGAGGATGATTTGGAAAAGGAAAAGACTGGAAGCAGGGAAGTAAATTTGTATGTAAGCTAATGTAATATATCGTTCAGGAAAGAAATGATGAAGGCCTGAACTAATGTAACAGACGTCTGAGCTAATAAAATGGGTTAGTCATGAGAGATATTGTAGAGGTAGAATCCATAGGACTTAAAAATTGGATGGATATGGGGAGCAGGGGCTATGGTGAAGGAGAGGGAAGAGTCAAAAACAACTCCAAGGTAATGAACCTGGCTACCTGGGAGGATAGTTGTGGCCTCAATGGGAATAGAAGAAAGTTTAGGAGGAAGAGCACGAATTCTGCTTTAAACCTGTTTGAGGTGTCTATAGAATATTCAGGTGGAAATATCCAGTAAACAGTTGACAATGTGACACTGGAGGGTAGGAGAAAAGATGCAAACTGGATAGAAAGTTTGAGGAATCATTTATATATCACTGATAATTTAACCCATGGTAGCTGATGAAATAATCAAGGGAGAGAGGATCAAGGGCTCTTAACCTGAGATCTGTGAACTTAATTTTTTTTAATTTGATAACTTTTTTAGTATAATTTTATTTCCTTTGTAATCCTATGTATTTTATTTTAAACATTTAAAAATACTATTCTGAGAAGTGTTCCATAGGCTTCACCAGACTTCCCAAAGCATGACACAAAAACAAAACAAAACAAAAAAAAACACGCTAAGCCACCCTGATTTAAGATATCATTAATAATCTCTGAAGGAGCCAATTCAGTAGAAAGGTGAAGTTTGAAGCCAGATTTCAAGGGTTTGAGGAGTAAGTGGTAAGGAAATAAATATAAATATAGCAGACTGTAACAGAGGACAGGCCAATGCCTATATGAGTTACATATATTTAATATTAATATTGTTTCCTTTTGTGTTCAATATTCTCCAAAGTGAGAGTGTGGCCTGACCTGAAGGAGTTTATGATCAACTCATCAGAGATTAAGAAGATAATCTAATCATGAGACTCCTACACAATCACACCTACCTGTTTGCCCCAACACTTTCCTTCCTGGAAGAGCTATGCAAATTCCCAATCTACCTCCTTCCTTGCTAAGAGTACCTGCTTAGGCACCCACAGAAGCATCTGTGTAGATGCCATTGGGAAAATCATTGCCTCTCCAGGGTACCTTTCCCCTACCCCCTCTACTCTATGGTATCACAAGTGCCCCTCGGAGGGTTGGCTCTGGAGCAGTGTGACCAGTGAATAAGAATCCTACTTCCCACCTTTTAATTTTCGGTTGGACAAAGTGAGTCTCATTGGTTGAGAAGTCATGGCTGGGTTGCAACAGAATGCAGATCTCATCACATTAGCCTTTCCTCCAAATCCTCACCTCTCAAGGACACCACCATCCTTCCAGTTAGACCTGTTGTCAACCTCAATGGAATCCTCAACTGTTCATTCTCCTTCATCCCACATATATAATCATTTGTCAAATGTCCAGTCTTGTCAGTTTCCATCTTCACAACACCTCTTGCATAAATCCCCTTCTCTTTATTCTCACAGTCATCACCCTAGTTATCATCACCTTTTAGTTATTACAAGAGCCTCCTAATTTCATCCCAGCCTCGTCTCCTCCCTTGCCAAGCAATCTTCCCCACAACTTCCAAAGTGATTTTCCTAAAGCTGAAATTTGATCACGTCACTCCCCTATTCAATAAACCACAGCGGCTCTCTTTTGACTCTAGGGTCAAATATTATTTTCTCTTTGTTTTATCCTTTTAAAATTTCTATTGTTGCACAAGTTCCATAATGTACATAAATTAGCATGGTAATACACAACATAAATTTATTTTGAAGTAAATATACATATATTAAAGGCACTGCTCAATTTTTCTTTTCTTTTTTTTTAAATAAGAGGAACACATCAAAAAAAATGTGGAGACCACTGGCATAGATAATTCTAGGAATTTGTCAGTGAAACAGAGGAAAAATATTTAAGGCGACTACTACGGTTGAGTGAAGGGATTTTTAACAAATAAACTTTGTTCTCATTTGTTTTTGCATTGCTTAAATTTTCTCCTGTCCTTTAAACTGGTCCTCTGTCAGAGACCTGGACCCTGAACCATGGTTCTGACACAACCTGACAGCTGTTATACCTAAATTACACAAAGAGAATACATACCATTTGCGGTGTTGCTTTCACATTTTTCAATGGAAGGTCCATATTTGCCCACTGTGATAATGCCAAAATGGAAATTGTCATAGGTGCTATTTTTACAGAAATTAACTGCATGGGAAAGAAAATGCATTTAGGGTTCATTAACATAACAGACATTTTCAAATTTGAAATTACTGAGAGGTCAGAGGGTATGGCATGAAAGGTCCATCAAGGCTAATCCCAATGAACCTTTAATCCCATCCCCTCCTATCCTCTAGAGCAGATTGCCCCCTCAGACCATCTCCCTAACCGTTAACCAGTCACCACCTACTGATTTTCTTCCTCATTGCCTTCAAACGTGCCCAAGTCTCTTCTATGTTTAAACCCCCCCACTAGACCCTACCATGTTCTCAAGCTATCATCCTGTATCTCTTCTCTTTTTCTCCATAGTTAAATTCATAGAAAAAGCTATTTATTAATCTATGTTTATGTTGTGTATGTATTTGTCTCCCCCATGGTAACATAGGCTTATTACAAGTATGAATGAATGAATGAAAAAACAATTACTAAGCACTTACTATGTGCAAAGCACTGTGCTAAGTTCTGGGAATTTGTGGTTCAGCGCTGACTCTTCATAACCCCATTTGGAGTTTTCTTCACAAAGATACTGGAGTGGTTTGCCATTTCTTTCTCCAGCTTATTTTACAGATGAGGAAATTGAGGAAACAGGGTGAAGTGACTTGCCCAGAGTCACACAGCTAATAAATGTCTGAGGCCAGATTTGACCTCAGGAAGACAAATCTTCCTGACTTCAGGCCCAGCACTCCATCCACTGCACCACCTAGCTGCCCAAGTGCTGGGAATGCAAATAAAAAAATAAGACAGTCCCTGCTCTCAAGAAGCTCACATTCTAACGAGGGAAACAACACATATGGAAGGTTTTAGCCACAAGTCAGATGGAAAAATCCCACAGAGAAATGGCAAAGCAGACGGTAATGCATCATCTTTAATGTTATTTCCAGTTAAATGTTTATATCTGTGTTTCTGATTTTGAACTACTTAACAGTACCAAGGACTTTGGTATCTTTCTGAGTTTTCAATAGTAGTGGCAGCAGCACTCACAGAAGCAGACCACATCTGGCGGGGGAAGGTGGGGGGAGGAAGAGGTGAGAAAGGACAAGCTACCTCCTCAGGATAAGGGCTTCTGTGAGCCCAGGCAGGAAGCAGGACTGGAGGTCAGGTTGAGGGGAAGGGTGGAAGGCTACCACTTCCAGGATTTGCCTATCTGTACCAATTGGCCTGTATTTAAAGAGGATAGGCCTCTTCACCACAGTGATTTCTCCCTTCACAGAAGAATGTGAAGCTGCATCTGGAAGCAGGACCAATTGTCTAGAGGGCACTACTATTCTCAAGACTATTGGGTTCAGGGTCCTAAGCTGTGTGCATCTGGGTCTCAGGGGAGGTGGGGCTGAAGTGCCTGGCACACATACACACATAGCCTGCTGTTTCTCCCTCAGGGATTGCTTTATTGCTTTATTCTTTGTATTTTTACACTTGCATTCTCAGTATCTAACGCAGCACCTAATACCTAGTTATTGATCAATTGATACAATCATATAGTCACTGCCTATACTTCCTCTCTTCTCCCTCCTTAACACTTTGCAATATGACTTCCAACCTTATCCTTTGACCAAAGCTACAAGCTGCACTCTCCAAAATTACCATTGATCTCTTTCTCTCTCTCTCTCTCCCTCCCTCTCTCTCCCTCTCTCAAATTTTATTGATATCTTTTGGGTTTTTTTATATCATCAGAATTTCTATCAGCATCCCTTCTCCTTATCCTATCAGAGAGTCATCCCATATAATAAATAATATTTTTAAGGAAAAAAAAAGGAAAAAGAATCCTCTCCCAAAAGTCAGCATAACCCATTAATAGGAAAAAAAACCTGAAAATGTATACACTGTACTGTGCCTGTGGACCTCCCATATCTGCAAAGGAACAAGGAGTGGTGCCTTCATCTATCTCTTCTTTTAAGCAATGCTTTTTCTTTGCAGTTTTGCAACCTTCACCTTTTATTATTTTATGGTTGTCCTTTCAATTTACATAGTGGGCATCGTATATATTGTTTTCTTAGCTCTGTTTACTTCACTCTTCATCAGTTTAAGATTTTTCATGTTTCTCTATATTTACCATACTTGTCCTTTCTTACAACACAGTAATATTCCATTACATTCATGTGTTACAATTTATTTAGTCCTTTCCAATCAATGGGCAACCACTTTGTTTCCAGTTCTTTGCTATCACAAAAAGTGCTGCTGTAAATATCGTGGTGGATATGGAAACTTTCTTTTTTTATTAATGACCTTTTTGGACTATAAGCCTGAGGCAGGTAGGCAACACAGCGGGTAGAGCGCTTGGCCTGGAGTCAAGAAGACTTGAATTCAAATCAAGCCTCAAATATTTCCTAGATGTGTTACCCTGAGCAAGTCTCTTAACCTGTCTGCTTCAGTTTCCTCACTTGTAAAATGGGGATAAAAATAGCACATATCTCCCAGAGTTGCTGCAAGGATCAAATGAGATATTTATAAAGCCCTTATCATGGTGCATGGCACCCAGTAGGCATTATGTAAATATTGAGTGGTGGTAGTAGTAGTAGTAGTAGTAGTAGAAGCAGTGGTAGTGGTGTTGGTGTTGGTGGTAGTAGTAGTAGTAGTAGAATCTCTGGATTAAAGGGTATATGACATGATCAAAATAGCATGTTAATTATTTTATTTGTATAATTCTGTTACTTTCCAAAATGGTTGTACTGATTCACAGTTTAACTAACAATGCACTAGTGTATCTGTCTCAACACTGATGACTCCTAATTGCCACATCTGATGATCTTTTCTCAGTCCTAATCCTTCTCAATCTATTCACCACATTTAAAACTATTGACCACCATCCTCCCCTGGATACTCGGTCCTCCCTGGGTTTCTCCCTGTTCTCCTCCTACCTGTCTGAGCACTCCTCAGTCTCCTTCACTGACTCATCAGCCATATCACACCTCCTAAAAGGCATTCCTTAGACTCTGTCCTGGACTCTCTTATCTTCTTTCTCAATACTCTCATTTACCTCATCAACTCCCATGGGTTTAATTATCACCACTATTCTGATGATATGTATGTATGTGAATTCAGATATACATGTATGTGTATGTGTGTGTGTATATATATATATATACATACATGTATATATATATCCAGACTATCCACTCAATCAACAAAGCATTGATTAAACCCCTTTTATGTGCCAAGCAATCAATCAATAAGCATTTATTAAACTTTGCCTATTAAGGCAATTATTCTTTCTTCCTATAACAACCTGAAATTTCTGACATTTATCACTTTCTAGTGAGATTAATAGTAAGTCAGCAGGTTCCTGTGTAAAATGTACATATATTACATGGGAGGGGCACAGGGAAAGAAGTGCCTCTGAACTTGATCCCTTTCTGAGTAGCAGTTAGAGTGACTATACCACCCATATTGCCCTCGATAGCTTGAGCAAGTGTTCCCACCCATTGACTGTCTTCATGTTTTGTTTTAAGTCAACTCTATGACTTTGCAGATGATACACTCACAGGATTACACAGTACCTCCTACATGCAGCTGATGGGCTCCTAACATGTTATCATACATGCAACTGATGGGCTCCTAACGTGTTGTTGTTCCATCATTTCAGTTGTATACATATTAGATATGGCACTTGGGTTCAAATACCTGCTCCAACACTTACCACTTGTGTATTTCTTGGGAAGTGACTTAACCTCTCTGTATCTCAATGTATGAGGGAGTTGGATGTGATGGGCTCTAAGGTACTTTCTATCTCTACCTCTAGTTCTAAGATCCTAAATCATAGGTCTAGAAAGAAACAAACAAAAATACTATGTCAAGTACTGTGTTTGGGGGTTTTCTTGGCAAAGATACTGGGAGTGCATTGCCATTTCCTTCTCCGGCTCATTTTACAGATGAGGAAACTGGGGCAAACAGGGTTAAGTGACTTGCCCAGGGTCACACAGCTAGGCAATTTCTGAGACCAGATTTGATCTCAGATCTTCCTGACTCCTAAAGTGTATTTCTGAAATGGTCAGTAAAGTAGCCTAAGAAGAAACTTCAACTTATATTATCAAATTGGCAGCTGAATTCTTAGGATGACTCGATTATTGTTATTATTGTCAAGGATGTGACAACCTATTGCCCTATGGCTGTACTCAACATTTCTGTGTGATAGGCTGGCTAGGCTGAAGCTCCCCTTCCCGATCACCATTTCTGACTTTCTCATACTATTCCATGTCTGCCCTGTCCTTCCAGCATCTATCCACACTCCTTAGGAATTACTTACTATATTTTTTTTTAATTTACTTATAGGTATACATATTGTTTTACCTGAATAGAATATAAGTTCCTTGAAGAACATTGTTTCATTTTATCTTTGTATCTCTAGCACCTAGTATTGTGTCTAGCACATAGTAGGTGTTTAATGAGTATTTCCTGAACTTCTAAACTGTACAATTCTTGACAGCAGGGACTGTCTTTTGCCTTTTTGGGGGATCCTCTTTAGCACAGAGCCTGGAACATAGTAGGTGCTTTACAAATGCCTGTTGAATGACTGTTGACAAGTTATATTATCCTTATACAAGGTTTCATATAGAACTGTGGTGAAGACCTGCAATCTTTCACTGCCTGGCCACATTAGTAAAAAAACAAAACCTCAGCCCAAGGAAACTTACCTATAGTACACCTCAATCCCTTCCATTGCTCTGGACAAATACATCCATCCTTCTCCCAGGTGCCTCCATTCTCGCAGAAATCCAAAGAGGTGGATGGGTATGTTACTGATGCTGGAAAAAAACAATATGTTTAAGTGTGGTGTCCAAACAAGCTGGTTTGCTTCTCTATTTAGTGCTCTGGGAAGAGCAATTTCTGCGGATAAAAATCACTTTATATGGAATGTAATGACAACAGATTGTTGCCCTAATTTCCTATTCAAGGCATAGCCAATATCACCAGCAACAAACATTCAATGAGGCAGCTAGGTTGTACAGTAGACAGAGTGCTAGGCCTGGCATCAGGAAGACCTAAGTTCAAATTCTGCCTCAGATACTTCTGAGCTGTGTGACATGAGGAAAGTCACTTCAGCTCTGTTTACCTCACTTTCCTCAACTGTAAAATGGGGATAATAGTAGCACCTACCTTTTTCATTAGTTCCTTTGATATTCTTGACTTTTTGTTTTTCCAAATGAATTTTGTTATTGTTTTTTCTAATACAGTAAAATAATTTTGGTAATTTAATTGGGATGGCTTTGCATGTATAAGTTAGTTTTGGTAAAATTGCCATTTTTATTATATTAGCCCTGCCCGCCCATAAGCAATTAATATTTCTCCAATTATTTAAATCTGTATATAAAAAGTTTTTTATAATTTTATTCATATAGTTCTGTGGGACAGAGCAGACATACAATTTACAGCAGCAAATAAATATAGTGATCTTGTCTTTGACAAATGTAAAGATTTAAGTTTTGGGGATAGCAGCTCTTTTTGTGGTGGCAAAGAACTGGAAATTACAGGGATAAATATGACTAATATAGAAATATGTTTTGCATGATTTCACTTGTATAACTGATCTATTGTTTGCCTTCTCAGTGGGTGGGGGAGGGCTAGGAGGAAGGGAAAGAATCTAGAACTCAAATTTAAAAAGAAAAAATGATAAAAGTAAATAAATATCATAATAAAAATAATTCAGCAAGTAAAAAAAAAAAAACATTAGGGCAAGTCTGTATATACCATAATGTGAACATTACATACTGATCTTACTACTGATTTAGACTTTGAAACTCGGGAAGCACAAATGTCAATTTGTCATATTCAGTATTTGATGAAAATTGTTGGGAAAACTGGAAAGAAGTCTGGCAGAAATTGGGCATAGGCCAATATCTTACAACATTTACCAAGATAAGATCAAAATGGATACATGACCTAGATATAAAGAGAGATTACAAGAAAATATGAAGAACATGGGATATATTACCTATCAGACTTATTGATAGATGAACAATTTATGAATAAACAAGAGAATAGAGAGCAGTGTGAGTTGTAAAATTGATAATTTCAATTACATTAAATTAAAAAAGGTTTATACAAATAAAACAAATGTAGCCAAGATCAGAAGAAAAGCAGAATATTGGGGGGGGTGGATTTCATAGACAGATTCTCAGATAAAGGTCTCATATCTCAAATATATAAAGAACTTTGCCAAATCTATGAGAATATGAGCCATTCCCCAATTGATAAATGGTAAAAGGACATGAGCAAGCAGTTTCCCAATGAAGAAATCAAAACAATGTATAGTCATATGAAAAAATGCCCTAACTCATTATTGATTAGAGAAATGCAAACTAAAACAATCTTGAGATATCATTTATACCTATCAGATTGTCTACCATGATTGAAGGGAAAAGCAACAAATGTTGAGGGGATGTGGAAAAATTAGAACCCTAATTCACTGTTGGTGAAATTGTGAACTGATCCAACCATTTTGGAGAGCAATCTGGAATTATGCCCAAAGAGTAATTAAGCTGCCTATACCATTTCACCCAACAATACCACTACTAGGTCTGTTTCCCAAAATAATTAGGGGAAAAGGAAAAGAACCTATATGTTCTAAAATATTTATAGCAGCTCTCTTTGCAGTGGCAAAGAATTGGAAATTGCAGAGTTACCCATCAATTGGGGAATGGCTGAACAAGTTGTGGTATATGATTATGATGGAATATTACTATGCTATAAGAAATGATGTTTCATGATCCTAGGAAAACATGGATAGCCTTTCATGAAATAATGAAGAGCAAAATGAAATGAGCAGAACCAAAAGAATGTTGTGTATACAGTAACAGCAATATAGTTTAAGAACAACTTTGAGTGACTAAGTCATTTTGACTATTATACATACCCAAATTAATTACAAAGGAAATATGAAGGAAGATGCTACCTGCATCCAGAGAAAGAACTGATAAATAGAAGTATGTATAGAATAATTTTACATAAATATATATACATATATACATATTTGTGTAATGGTAGCCATTGCTAGGGCAAGAGCAGGGAAAGGAAGAAAAAAAGGAAAAAAGTTACATGATAACTTTATTAAATATTTAAAAGGAATAGCAAGTAGTACATAATAGATTTGCAGTTTCATATACAATCATCTTTTTTTCTATTCTACTATATTATGGAAAAGCTTGCTTTATTTCTTAAGTTTAGAATAAAATAAATAATTTTTTAAAAATACAGTCCACCTCCAGAGAGAGAACTAATGAATTCTGAGTGCAAATTGAAGTATAATTTTCTTGGTTTCTTTTTTTTAAAATATGACTAATATAGAAATATGTTTTGCATGATTTCACATGTATAATTTATGTATTTTTTGCCTTCTCAGTGGGTGGAGGAGGGCTAGGAGGGAGGGAAAGAATCTAGAACTCAAAATTGAAAACGAAAAGAATGATAAAAGTAAATAAATAATAAATATCGTAATAAAAATAATTTAGCCAGGAAAAAAAAAAGACATTAGGGCAAGTCTGTATATACAATGATGTGAACATTACATACTGATACTGATATACAGTATTACAGTATTACATACTGATACTACTGATTTAGACTTTGAAACATGGGAAGGTTGAATGTCAAGCTGAGCATAACTGTCTAAATCACCCTTGAACTTGTAAATTCTTTTGGAAATTGGAAGATTCTTGTGTGAAAGCTGGTAAACAGGGCAGCAATAAATAATACAGGAAAAGACAAAAAACAAAACAACTCAGTACCTACTTCACAGAGCTGTTGTGAGGATCAAATGAGATGTTTATAAAGTGCTTAGTACAGGGCCAGGCACACAGTAGGTGCTATGTAAATGCTTTCTGCTTTCATTTCCCTATCCCTTCTCTTCCCCTCCTACAACAGAGTGTGGGCGCTGGCATGTAGAATTTGGAGTCCAAGGACTTGAGGTTCAAATGCCATTTCCTAACTTTGTGTGCCTGAGAAAGTGACTTACCTCTCTGGACCTCAGTAAAATGAAAGGGTTGAGTGAGATAGAACCCACCAGCAAGAATTTATTAAGCACTTACTACATGATAGGCACTAAGCTAAGTGCTAGGGTACAGAGAAGCAAAAGCCTGACCTCTGACAGCCAGAAGGTTGCATCCTAAAGGGAAAGGACAAATAATAATAGCTAACATTTATGTAGCAGAAGACTCATCTTCACGAGTTCAAATTTGGCCTCAGGTACTTCCTAGCTGTGTGACCCGAGGCAAGTCACTTAACTCTGCTTACCTCATTTTCTTCATCTGTAAAATAAGTTAGAGAAGGACATGGCAAACCACTTCAGTATCTTTGTCAAGAAAACCCCAAATGAGGTCATGAAGAATTAGACACAACTGAATGATAACAACAATATATTTTTTTTGTGATATGTGGATTGTTTTTTTTAAAAAGAATTACAGGGGCAGAGCCAAGATGGCAGAGTAAAAGCAGTGACTTGCTTGAGCTCTCCCCCAAACCCCTCCAAATACCTATAAAAATGGCTCTAAACAAATTCTAAAGCAGCAGAACCCACAAAAAGACAGAATGAAACAAATTTACAGCCCAAGACAACCTGGATGGTTGATTGGAAAGGTATATTGCACCGGGCTGGGAGAGGAACACAATTTGGCATCGATGCTCAGGCAAGGCAGACCTCAGTGAACCTGGAACAGACCTCAGAAGCATGAATCATGAGCAGCTGTGGCAGTTTCCAGACTTCTCAACTCACAAATGCCAAAGACAACTTAGAAGGTCAATGGGAAAAGTCTGTGTTTGTGGTGAGAGAGAGAAGCAAGGTACCAGCCCCAATCCCCAAGCTCAGCCCTGGTCAGTAGCTGCTTCTGGGGCTTCAGGCTCATAGACTGAGGGGGAATCAAGTGACTGATCAGAGGAGGATTGCAGGGATCTCTCTGCTGGAGCAGGATTTTCTTGTTTTTCCCGTGCTTGGATCTGGGTCACAGTTCTGGTGGAAGTCCTGGGGTGAGGAGGAGTGCTGGCATGGTAGAGCTTGTAGTGGCAGTAGAGAGGAAATCCTCCTCACAGTTCCAAGACAGAAAAGAGTGCTTGTGGTCAGAGTGCTTGTGGTCACTCATAGACCAGAGCACAGGCCAGGAAAGGAGTAAACACCTTGCCCTGGATCAAAGCACCTTGGAAGGACTAAAAATTTACAGGTCTCTAGAAGTATCTCTGAAAACAGCTGCACAAAACCCCCGAAGCTTGGGACAGTACATACTCCACACTGGAAGTAGACACCTGCCTTAACAAAGAGTTTATAACTCAAGTAATTGGCTGGGATCATGAGCAAGCAGCACAAAAAGAGTCAGACCATAGAATCTTACTTTGGTGACAGAGAATATCAAAACATACAACCAGAAGAAGACAACAAAGTCAAAGTTCCTACATCCAAAGCCTCCAAGAAAAATATGAATTGGTCCCAGGTCATGGAAGAACTCAAAAAGGATTTTGAGAAGCAAGTAAGAGAAGTAGGGGAAAAACTGACAGTGATGCAAGAAAATCATGAGAAACAAGTCAACAGCTTGCTAAAGGAGACTCAACAAAATACTGAAGAAAATAACACCTTAAAAAATAGCCTAATCCAAATGGCAAAAGTGGTCCAAAAAGCCAATGAGGAGAAGAATGCCTTCAAAAGCAGAATTGACCAAATGGAAAAGGAAGTCCAAAAGCTTACTGAAGAAAATACTTCCTTAAAAATTAGGAGAGCAATTGGAAGCTAGTGACTTTATGAGAAATCAAGACACTGTAACAC